ATTTCATTAAAAACATTTGAGATCCACGAACACGTTCACGAATTTCACTTTCTTAAAGAAAACTTGGTACCCATCGTATACTCACTCTTTCCATAATTAATTCTTCTGTCAAAGTTCTTTGAACAGTAGAATAAGACCAACTTAAAATTTCACATATCGCTCTAATCGTCTGTCTTTTTTGATCACACACCATTGAACATATCCGTCTGTCCTCCCATCTTTCGGTCTTGTTATCTGCTTAGCATTAATGACCCACCACCCACCCAAAATCGCTGAAATCATCTAAACAAGTCTCTTATTTATATTCCTTCCCCTGTGAGTCTGGTGAATCAACGTAACTGTCTGTACTGGCGATTTCTCCATTTTTAAGCGAAATGCATTACAGTTTGTTTTGGCTTTTTTGTTCATTTCGACATTTCCTTTTTTCAATGCACCTGAGTAAAACAACGATGTTTTTTATTACAAAATAGCAGTTGTCATATAATTTTCAACTTAAGACTAGAAAATGATGTAAATTTTTGTCTTTTAAAATATTTTCTGATTAGGCACTTTTAAAAGATGCTTTTAAATGTGTTTGTCTTTTCTGTCCTTAAAAAAATAAACTTTAATTTGTGACGTTCGGTTGTGACGCGGCGACACCCCCTATGTTCTAGGTTTTAAACACCTATAAAATAAATTCAGATAAACATTATTGAATGAAAATTTCAAGTTTAATTAGAATTATATTTGTGCATCTTTTGGTATATCATATTTGATAATATTGCGCTAAATATAAAAGATATGGACTCTGTGACATTACTTTTGGATCAACCCTCGTACTTTATTTTTATGAATTATTATTATCTTGTTAAAACAAATTGGATTTTGTTGTTGCTCCAATGTACTATAATTTGGTAAATCATTTTGTAATGAAATTGATCCGCATAGACTAATCAAGACAATCGATAATAAGTAATAAAATTTGAACGGAAATGCAATGGTACTATTAAGATTTTTGAACAAGAGAAATAAAATTGGGAACTTTGAAGTAAATAAGTAAAAGAGCTTAGGGCTAGAACTGTAAGCCAATGGACACTTTTATTGGTTTAAAAGTTTATTAATTCAATTTACAAGTTTACTGTGATCGTATAGTTTTTTGTAAGCGTTTTCGAAATTTGAAATTTGATCCGTATAAACCAATGCACTGATATAATGTTCAAAGGATCCGTCCACAATACAAAGAGCCGGAAACCGAACTCCCCAACAAATAAATAAGCAAAAGTCCAAAAGAATGATTCCCAAAAACAAAATGCAAGAGAGAAGTGATAATTTGAGAATAAGACCGGGAATGCTCTTTTCTGACCAAAACAGGGTATTTTGTGCTCAGTGGGTATCCATGGTCCCGGATATAAAAATGCATTTCATTGGCTAACCCACCACCACCTACGCTTTGTCAGTAGGTCTGTCCGTTGACCTGTGAACCCCAACATGGCACCACCCTTAAATGCAGGTAAATACTCATTACTAATATTTATGGGCTCAGTCCCTGTAATAAATTGTCAATTGATAAGTCAGGTTTAAAGTTTAGAATTTATTGCAAGTCCAAATATATGAATTTCACAAATGCAATTTAGAACAACTGAATTTAACAAAGAATTTTCCAAAAATTTCACAAACTGAGTTTAACAAAGATTTGTCCCGGCCCATTCTCGTTCTTATTCTGATATTCGCAAATTATCAATTCTCTTTTCGCATCTTGTTCTATTTTTGGGAATCATTTCTTTTTACTTTTATTTATTCATTCATTGGGAGTTCGGTCTTGAGCTCTTTCTGTTTTTGGACGGTTCCTTAGAACATATATATAAAAAGCGTATTGGTCTGTTCTCATCATTTTTTCAGAAACGATTAATTATAATCCTATACGATCACGGTGAAATTGTCAATTTGGATTTATTCAATAAACTTTGAAATCAACCAAAGTGTCGTCATTGCCTTACAATCAGATGGCAGATCAGTTGGTAGTGTGCATCCTTAGATGTACCACCCATGTAAACTGGGTCAACATAGGGCTTATTGTTACTTGGAAATGGAACCTGCACCAAACACTTTGGCCTTTTCACTCATCCAGAAAATGTAGGTGAGCTCCATGATGAATCATTCTTGCAAGTTTGCTCAACATAGGACTCAAAGTGACTAAAAAGGGCAAAAACTTAACTTTTTATACTCAACCGGAAAATGTTGGTTAGATCCAGCATCCCAAGCAAGCTTGGTAGCGTGCATTCTAAGATGTATCACCCATGTAAGTTTGATCAACATAGGGCTCTTAGTTACTTAGAAATGAGATCCGCATACCCCTAAAACATTCTTGCCATTCCTTTGCTGAAATTGTAGCATATGAAAATGAAAAAGCTGAAATTGAAACCTTTGTTGGTACAGTGAAACACTGTACATAGAAACATCTTCTCATGTAGGACACTTGAAATGAAAACTGTACCAAAAACTTTGACCTGGGACGCCGACGCCGAGTGTATTTCATAAGCATATATTTTAGGAATATTCTTTAATGATTTATTATATTCATCTACACAACTCATGTTAAAGCTTATTTCATAAGTTTTTAAGAAGATTCAATTTTTAGGGCACAATAAAACCCAAACGGTACCTTCTTCTTTACTGATGCAGTTTTCCCCCATAAGTATACACATACTTTCAACATGTAATGCAGACAACAGACTGAGATAATTCTGAACATTGCTTTATTAGTTAAAATTTATTTAATAATTATTATAATATCAACTTTTCTGATTATACCATCATGAACTTATCAGCAAAATTCATTTATAATAAAACATAAAATAATCTCTGCACATTGAAAGACAGTGGTACAAATGTAATTTGCTACAAACATACATATCTATACACAGGAAAACAAATTCAGAAACAAAATTCAGTAATGTGAATCAGGATGTGTGTCAAAACTACCAATCTTGACAGAACATCCTGTCCACAAACAGGCACATGACGATTCTAATTTTTTTTCTTCACGAATCAAAAATTCGTCATACTTGACTTGTATGGGGAATTAATTATTTGTGAATAGAAAAGCTAATTAAAAAATTTTAAGTGGGAATTATTTGTGAAAAGAAAGGCTAATAAAAAAAATGTTAAGTGCCTCTGTGTTCACATATGAAAAACTGCTCTAATTGAATTGTGGATATATATGAAGCAACTACATGCATGTAAAAACTTGAAGCAATATAATTATAATTTACAGAAAATTTTGGCAAATTTTAAATGCTGTTTATAATACAATGCAACAAACACTTGAAGCAAGTATCCTCACTTTTGCAACTTTCAATACTGTCTTCATATATGGTTTTTGCTCAATATGCATTCCAAACTACGGTAATACTAGCTTTCAATTGCATTTATTGTTAAAATGCTCATTTAAATTCTGACAAATATGATGTGATTCATAGATTTTCATGCAGGAAAACGTTTAAAAGACTTATAAGTCCATTGGTATTTTTAGATGTGCTAGTCTGCATGTTAATATTATTAATAAATATATAGATTACAATCAACGATCAACATATTGAATAGTTTACAATGTAAATATTAGATTATTTACGTTTGGTTTTAGATTAACATGAAACAAAACACAAATTGCATAAAGAAATAAAGTAAAACAACAGTTTAAAAGAAATAACTAACATGCAAATTTGACTTTCCTTACACACCTTCCATGTACATGTGTATGTATTTGTTGATACATGTACTGTAAAATCACATATTTTCATGGGATAAATTTTTTTTGTGGTTTGAGCAAAAAGTCTTGGTTCGTGGAGATTTGATTGGATAAAGAATTGTTAAGTAGTTATTTATGTAACATTCTACATTTCATGGTGTACATGAATTCCTAGGTTTCTTAATACCCTGAGAACAACGAAAATTAAAGCCCAGGCCTTCGAAAATTTGTGATTTCACAGTTTAGATGTATACATCAACATTTACAGTTTTGAATGAATGAACATTTTTCATTAAAGATGGAGTGTTATTACATGTCCATTTGGCAACCTTGACATCATGTTTTAAATTAAAATTTCTGTAAAAATGTAAACATAATAAGGATTTTTTTCCCTTACAAAAATAAAAACAAACAAACAAAAACAAAAATCTTGCATGAAATTTTTATGAAAATACATAAAATTTTCATTTACATAAATATTAAATTGATTTATAATAGAATGTACTGATTTTTTTCAACATAAAAAAATTCAAATGTTGTTGCCATACATTCAAATAATTCTGTTCATAATTTAAAATGATGTCATTCCTAATAAATTTATATTTTGTTCTACCTTCGAAAAATTAACGTTATTGAAAAAATTGGAATGTAAAAATTATCTTTGATTTTCAAAAGAATTCAGAAAAATGTTTTATGATACATAAAACTGACAGAGACTGTAAAGAACTAAATACTGTAGACATACTTTTATCCACACGGCCATAATTCCACGGAATCTCTTTTTATGTTCAAATTGCTGGTAGAAAGTTATGAGGATATCTTAAAGACACTCCTTATATGTGTAATAAGTTTAATGAGAAAAATTTTTCGTCAAATTTCCACTGAAAATTTGTGACTGTGTACATAGTTAATACAAATATCCATTGATGCAATTTAAAAAATGAACTAGAAATACTTCTAAGATTTTTTTCTTTCTTTCTTTACGGTAATAAAGGAAATAACATGACAAGTAAATACAATGTACTATAAATTTGTTTCTTTTTTATGGACCCTTTAACAATGTTTATGATAACTGTCCTAAAATTATATACATGTACATAAATAAACCTTGATTTAAAATCAAGTAACATTTGGTTACTGGCAGAATATTTTGTCATCAATCAATTTAAAAAAATTAACAACTTAAACTCTGCTAATTACCACAAAAGAAATCTATTTATAAGCTTATAAGCTTAAAAGGTTATTTCTTTTGGTATTCATTGTAACACATCAATACGTAGCAAGATGCCATCTAACTAAATAAATAAGTTTTGGCAATAAGCAAGATGCACCAGTGAAATCAAAGTAGAACGTTTTGAAACCTTACAATGATAAAAGGTTCAAGTCACTCAAATTTCTACCATTAAGTTATTATCATCTTAAAGTAGAAAACTTCAAAACAGAAGTAGGTCTTGTCCTTCTTTTCTGCTCTGGTTCTTAAAAAAGAAACAGAAAACAGTATATAATTATGTTTTGTTCTTCTTCTCTGCTGGTTCTTGTGCATCCTGGTCCTGGCCCCATGTTCTGCCCTCACCCTCTGATCGCCCTGGCCCCCTGCCTTTTCTCCCCTTACTATCTGACCTGCCTTGCCCCCCTAGCTATCTGACCTGGCCCTCCGTTTTATTGTGGGGGTCCGGCTGCCTGAAGGAGAGTCCACCATCAGAAAGCTCTCCTCCACACTCTTCTTACAGTACATATAGAACAGCTCTGCCGACTTAAGTAGGATCTCATCCAGGTTTATCTTCAAACTGTTAACAAAAATATTGGATTAATTTTACTGTGATATACTTCTTTTGTATTTGAAAATTCTGACAATTTCAGACAATAGATTTATCTATTTAGTGAATAAATCTGGGAAAAAAAATTTGAAACATTTGTTTTTTATAATTATTCAATACAAGCATTTTTTTTCTCTTACTTAACATGCTGAATTAGCATGTATGCTTGTTTAAAACAAATTCATACTGCAAATGCAAAGCCCAATAAGCATATGAAAAGCCTACAACTAACATTTTCAAGACGCTTTCTCATTTTTTTGGTTTCTTTTATAGATAACTAACTAGTTCAACACTTGGGAATACTCTCTCATTCCATTACCCTTCTTTTTTCCTGATTTTGATAAAATTATATCTCCCCAAGCCCTCACCATTTCCTTTTTTTTTTTTTTAACAGTTACTGCATTTTGTTATCAAATACCCAATAAGATCCTGTTCTTTATCTGTAACCCCATTTTACTCCAACTTCCTCTTTAAGAGAAGCGACTGTTTCAGAACCTTTCTGTCCTTATCTATAATTAAATGCATTGTACAAGGTGAATGTCTACGTTAGATTCCTTATTTTTCGAGAGTACTTATTATCGCAAATAGGCTCTTCCACGTCAAATCGCGAAAAAAAAATTTGCGAATGGACGGTTGGTCTAGAGATTTTATTTGAATTCCAGATATTTAGATTAAAAATAACGGCTAGTAATTTTATTTTTTTGCATGTAGTGCTTCTCGTGAAATTATGCAATAATTAATTCCATGTGTATATTTAGGAATTTACAGTATTCATAACACCTCTATCCTTTACCTACTGTACAAGGTGTCAATTCAGAACACCTCTACTGTTTACCTTTTGAACAATATGTCCATTCAGAACACCTCCATGTTTTACCTGTTTATTACAGAATACACAGCGGCCGTGTCTGTACACTCCATTAGTTCTGGCCTACATTCCTGGAGTAAGGCGACACACATGAAGAGGTCAAAGGTGTACTGAAACTCTACATCAGATGGAAGTGAAGATCTGGACACACCACCTTAAATGTTAAAAAATCCTCATTCAAAAGAAAGTTTATCAATATCACAGTTTAAATATTCGCAAAGATTTAGATTAAAAATAACAAAACTTTAAAAAGTTTTGGTTCTTATTTAGGTTTTTCATAATGAAAGACCATGTGAATATCTAGAGTATTGTATGTGAAGGTTTCTTCAGAATAGCAGATTAAATGAAGAACTTAAAGTAAAATAAGCCTGACTATTGACTATTGTCTGAGACAAAAAATGACATTATCAGGACTACTGTATACAGGGAAATTTTCGCGTTCTTTTATTTCAGCCCCTTTAACTCTTGTCACAAGTGGGCGAATTTAAAATGGGGGGAATTCAAAGGACACAGTATAAATTCTTAAACAGAACTGGGACTGGGCGAATTTAAAATGAGACAAATTTGTAAGCAAGTGTAAAAGGGCGAAAATAACACGGGGCGAAAATAACCCAGTATACAGTAATTCTTTATTACACTGAAGCTAAACCTTGAACTCTGACCTTGACTTTCAAATTCTCTCTTGAGTTCCAGTCTTCGAGTTTTCTCTGCCTCCATTGATGTGAGCTCCAGATGATGGCTGCTCAGTATCTCAAAACATCTCAGGGACTCCATAAAGCTGAACTCGCGCTTAAACCCCAGCAACAGCCATCTACAATAAGTATAGGAAAAATTGTCAGTCATTTTTCACATAATATAGTGCTGCAGAATTCTAGAGATTGAATTGCAGTTTACATAAAGATTATCTTTCTAGTATGCATTTTTAATAGTATTTTACTTGGATTGTGGTCATTAGTTTATTATTTGTTTTTATTCATAGCAATTGATGTTTTTTTCTCCATAATCTACATTTTAACAATTTATGGATTTTATTTTGGTATCTTGGTTTATCAGTCTGACATCACTTGCATTGGTGCTTATCAATGATAGAAGCAAGCCTCCCCCCCCCCAGCACACAGAAAAGATTTTTCTCAGGTTTCCAAAAGCAATATATCTTTGAGGCTGGCTTATATGTAATTTATGTGTGTATTGCCCTGCACCTGAAATGTCTTATACCATCTCAGCTATGAATTGTAACTTAATACACTCTTATAACGTTTTTACCTGTGGCAGAAGAGCAGGTCCCCAAGATCATTAGCCTTCAGATGCTCTAATAAAGCAGGATCCATCTCCTGTAGCAGTAATACAACCAACTCTACAACAGACCAATCAAAAGTCCTGAATAAATATAGCATTTTAAAATTGACCAATCACAAATGCTCTAACAGAGCAGGATCCATCTTCTGTAGGAGTAATATGAGCAACTCTACAACAGACCAATCACACGTCAAGAATAAATATAGCATTTAATATTGATCAATCACAGATATTATTGAAATGTACATTATAGTATAAATTCAGAGTGTATTAACTGACATGAAATTGACATGTCATGAAATTTTGCTATTACATGTATACATATTGCATACACTCAGTGACATCTTAAAACTTAAATATTTGCAAGTCAGATTTAAAATTAATTTGAAGTATCACCATATGTATTTAGTTACTGAAATTTATTAGTCCCCCCTTTACACACACAAAATGTAATAAAATTGTACTGTAAACTATCAAAATAGTGGCAACCCAGTTACAGACATTTCCCCCTCCTCCTTTGTAAACTTCCCTATAGCAACAGAGTATAGTTTACCTATTTTGCTGACCATTCCTTCTTCTGTAAACTCATGCTGAATTTTCTGTAGGTAATTTGTAAAGCACCAATAGGCCTCCACCTAAAATAGTACAAATGAAAGTACACTTATATTCTGGCAACTATATCATTGCATTTCAAGTACTTTATTTATACTATCAATTTCAAATGTCACAGCTTTTCCCAGGCCTCTACAATACTTAAATCTTATGTATGACATTTTTTTCTTCGACAGGTATTTTTTTCTTCAAATAAAAATCTTTCTATAACAGATAAGAACTTGTAAACGTACTAATTACATGTTTAATTGCATTCATTATATGACATAAAAAGGCCTAGTTTTCTTCTGACAGATCGAACAAAAATCTTGATCCTGCGGAATTATAACCCCATCAAAAAAAGTAAATCGACAGAATTCAAAGAAATTAGAAGGGATTCAGATGTTGTGCAAGATGACAAAAGAGCCGTTGAAAGTAAAATAAATGTTACAAACCTCGGAGTCAAAGACGACCAGAAACTGAGCCAGAATATCGTTCATCCCCTGAGCGTACCCGATTTGTGGATGGAAGGCCACAAAGGTCAATAGGATATTGCGTAATACTGTCAAGTTTGGATTCATTGTTCCTCTGTTACAGTAATCAAAGGAAAAAGTGAATACAAATAAATATCAAATAAATATCAAAAAGCTACATTTTACAATCTCTCAACATGCTCAATATCATAAGACCTTTTTTCCCTTCAGAATCCTAGTAAGATGGTTATTTTATATTTGAAATAATTTATAATGAAAACATTGTATAGGTTGAATTCTCTGTGTTAAATGCTTGAAACTGCCTTTATACCACTTGCTTTTATTTTGTTATGGAATAGCCATAAAGGGAAATCAATTTGAATCATTTTTGCATTAATTCTGAAATTTGAATCAATTCTTCCACTTTATTGAAATACTGACTTGATTTATACATCTATATGCAGGAATTAAATGAAATGAATTTTTCCTTATGATAAAATACAGACTTGAAGTTATTCTACTAAGTCCCTCTCAGTATGAGGTAATTCAGTTTTTAAAAAAAATATAAATGTGGGCATACTTTGAACAAATTCAAAATATTTTATATGATGGCCTTAATTTTAAAATTGTACCATCTACTGGTTTACTGACTTGAAGTATACCAGGAATCTATTTGTCCATGGGAATTGAATTACTGTAAAAGCACAAATATTCAAGGGGGATTTAATTTCATTTATTTCATTGTTAACAATTATCAACGAAATTAAATCCCACATGAAATTTTTATATGACCATGATGACTATATATGGAATAGGTTTACTTTCAAAACAACGAAATTACATGCTTACAAAACTATTTATGATGACAAATAAATGATATTTTATCCCCACGAAAACTTGTGCTTCTACAGTAAATAAGTAATTTTTCTGTTTAACTGAAATACTGACTTGAAGTATTCTAAGTCTCTATCGGTCCGTGGGACGTCTTTGTCAATAACACGGAGATGGTCCAACAAATTCTTCACACTTATCTTCTGTCTATTCACATATACCTACAAAATACAGTAGGGTGGATAAATTTTCAATAAACATGACAAAATTAAAAAATTGTGTTATTTCTGTTCATTATCATCTTCGCTACTAGCCAAGGGTTTTCCGTCCACTCTGCTACCCATAATGGGGAGCGGAGTGGACCGAAAACCCTTGGCCAGCGAAGATGGTGCATTACCACGGCGGTATATAATCATGGTCTAGACACATAGCATTGAAGGGGTGGGGGCCCAGGGTAAGGGGGTAATAAATTTAGTACTGAAAAAGTTGGATTTTGGTAAGTTGAATATCTTTGCTCTGCTCCCAAACCCCTTTCAAAATGATGTTATGTCCCTGAATTTGACCCTATACTGTCTGCTGTATCCCCATGAAATAGGTATCTACCAAAAGCTCACTGTTCTAAAAATTTTTTGACCAATTTACTTACAAAAATAAGTTACATGTACATGATAAATATATTTCAAAATTGTGCTTATAAACTTAAATAGCAGTGATTTCTGAGCATATAAGAATTAAGTAGTCTAGCTTTTTCAATAAAAATCTTCGGAAAGCAGCAAATAATAAATAAGTGCCTATCTTTCTATCTACATGATCTAGAGCAGGTTAAAAAAAATCTACAAATTTCAGATTACATTGAACATGTTGAAAAAAAATTGAGAATTATCTTTCAGAAAGAAACAATACCATTTATAAATCTAAGATTCTTAGAAATACAAACAATTGTTCCAGATTCCAGCTAGCCTACATGATCATGAAGATAAACCAATCTAGTAATAATTACCTATAGTTTTATACTAAACATGCTCATTATTATATGACAAAGACTTTCTTGTCAAAATAATGCCCAATTCCCATAATGTTAAAAATGAAACATTGCATGCATTGTTCACGCAGTATCACGCGCAAGCAAGAACGTCTTTCTTAAGAAAACAGAATAAAGGATGCAAACATACTGTCTTTACACTTTATCAACTTTATCAACCGTTCAGTGGTTTTGTTTTATTAGGCAAAGATGTATTAATTAACAGTTCATGATTTGTTCATTGTGTGATGCTTTCTTTGAGGTATGTTATCTAATGAGACTAAAATTGCTGGTTTAAGTGGTTTATACTAAAATTATAAATTGGAAACATGCAGGCTCAATTAGCATGATTAAAATCATATAATTTAAAGAGTTTCCTTTATAAATTAAGGAAATGCTTAATATATTAACAACTTCTTTTGAACACAATAAAATGTACTTGAAAAAAAAAGGAAGTGATGGTGCATACACAATTTTAATCATATCTGTTATGTTTGAAATTTTTTGTTAAGTTAAAAGTATAAAACTTCTCAAGAGGGGCAATATATTAATTGAAGTACACATGAGTGTATAGGCATTGTGTTCTTTATAACATGACTGTACAATTAATTAAACATAGGTAATCAGAGATTACAGAGCTCACCTCAACGAATGTTGTCTTTAAATAAGGCAAAGTCACACAATTAACCAACAAAAAATGTACATTCCAAAAATGAAAATATCTAAGCAATTTTGATCTGATACTTTGAAGTAGACCAACATAAAAAATTGAAAGTAGTTCTTCTTCATGAAAATGTAATTCAGCATCTAAAGCAAATTTGAGTTTTCATCTCTTGATGCAACATTTGTGCAAGTTTGGTTTATACAATGTTATAAAAGCCTTAAAGTTTTTTGGTAAAAGACCTGCAACCATAACTTTAACCTGGTCTATTATCTGAAAAATATATATGTCGAATTCAGCATCCGAAGCAAGCCCGGTAGTATCCATCCTTAGATGTATTGTCCATGCAAGTTTGCACATTATAAGGCTCATAGTTAATTGGAAATGAAACATACATCAAAAACTAACATTTTCTATCATCCACAAAATGTAGGTCAGATTCAGCATCCGAAGCAAGCCTGGTAGTATGCATCCTAAGATGTATCATCCATGCAAGATTGGTCATTAAAGAACTCATAGTTACTTGGAAATGAAACCTGCACCAAAAACTTTTACTTGTTCACTCAACCGGAAAATGTAGGTCAGATTCAGCATCCGAAGCAAGCCCGGTAGTGTGCATCCTTAGATTTATCATCCATGCAAGTTTGGTCAACATAGGGCTTAAAGTTACTTGCAAATGAAACCTGCTCCAAACACTTTAACCTGTTCACTCAACTGGAAAATGTAGGTCAGATTCAGCATCCGAAGCAAGCCCGGTAGTATCCATCCTTAGATGTATCATCCATGCAAGTTTGGTCAACATAGGGCTTATTAAGTTACTTGGAAATGAAACCTGCACCAAAAACTTTAACCTGTTCACTCAACCGGAAAATGTAGGTCAGATTCAGCATCCGAAGCAAGCCCGGTAGTATCCATCCTTAGATGTATCATCCATGCAAGTTTGGTCAACATAGGACTTACAGATACTTGGAAATGAAACCTGCACCAAAAACTTTAACCTGTTCACTCAACCGGAAAATGTAGGTCAGATTCAGCATCCGAAGCAAGCCTGATTGTATCCATCCTTAGATGTATTATCCATGCAAGTTTGGTCAACATAGGACTTACAGATACTTGGAAATGAAACCTGCACCAAATAACTTTAACCTGTTCGCTCTACCGGAAAAAGTAGGTCAGATTCAGCATCCGAAGCAAGCCCGGTAGTATGCATCCTTAGATGTATCATCCATGCAAGTTTGGTTAACATAGGGCTTATAGTTACTTGGAAATGAAACCTACACCAAAAACTGCACCAAAAATGTTAACCTGCTCCAAAAACATTAACCTGGTCATTCCTTTGCTAAAATTGCAGCATCTGAAACTTTGACTGGTACAATGAAACACACTAGAACCATCTTCCATGCATGTCTAATCAATATAGGACATAGAAGTACTTAAAAAGAAAACTGCTCCAAAAAACTTAACCTTAACCCGGGACGCCGACGCCGACGCCGAGGGTATTACATAAGCTCCCCCAACTTCGTTGAGGTGAGCTAAAAATCATATCAAATGTATCTTAAATATTTCATTAATTAAGCAAATTAAAAAAAACACTTAACCATTATAACCATCACAACTATTTTCATACAATAATTTTTTTAATGAATTTTCTTCAGGACACACTACCTATCTGAACAAAAAATTCACTCAAAAGAAGCATAAAAAATCCAAAATAACATTACAAATTGCAAATACACTGACTGTATACCTGAGCCTGAATTTTCATAAAGTCGATTTTCTGTTGCATCTCGGGAGACGACACGTCAATGTCGAAATTTCTGGACAGGACCTTGAAGTCGGGTTTCTCTGCCTTAAATTTCCCGTCCATTAACATCTTCTCCATCATCTCAAACTCTGAGATATGATCCCCAGGGCTATGGTCAGGGCTCCTAATCGTGTTATTCTGATCCTCGATTTGGTACCTGGCCACCAGCCCCTGTTGTAACAGTGTAGCCCCAGGGTGGGCATTCAGAACCAACATGGTCTTCCAGCGCGACTTCATTTCATGATACTTCATGATGTAGTCTAAAAGTAATTCTTCACGCTCCCTTGATGTAGAAGTACAGGGGTAGAGACCAAAGAGAAACTGCCAGGCTTTTTTCCGGAGGTCTGGTTCCACTCCACCCATGAATATGCATTTCCTGAAAGCATGTTCGTCTACGAGTCTACCGTCTTGGTCAAAGAGTTTCTCAAATATCTCGCGAGATAACGGATCACCTCTTCTCTTGACTGGAGTTGGGAGTGACTCGTTATCATCAAAGGGGATGGCTTTAGAGTTCACTCTGAGAAAATGTGGTTTTTTGGCAGTATAGGAACCTAGCCTCCCTCTGGTTTCATTGTCTGAACACAAGCATTCTGATTGGTCCCCTTCGTTCTCACTTTCTTGTGACGAGGAAGGTGATTGGTTTTTTGAATTATGGTTTTGGCATGAGCAAGATGATTGGTTACAAGAACATGAAGAAGATGATGCACTGTCTTGCTTTGATATTTCAGACTTCTTTGATGTTGGCACATTACTCGGTTGACTAGAATGTTCACATTTTTCACAACTTTCTTTTGAGATACTGTTTGTGGTTTTTTGACTAGAGATATTAACGGAGCTTAGGTTTGACGTGGCACAGTTGACACAGTTTTCAGGTTGGGGCCCCTGGGTGGGGTCTTTGGTTTTGTTCTCTGTTTCTGGGAAGTCTATGAATTCAAAGGAGTCATCAACACTGCATGGCCTGAAAATGGAAAATATCATTTTTTTTAAATTTCATTTTTTAAAGTCTTTGCAATGAGCAACTCAAAAGGCTAGTCTCTGAACACTTTGACCTCTTACAACATCTCATCAAAGAGAAATTTTGAACTGTGCTGTCTGTGCATATGATCATGATGTTATTGTACCAAACCCTACATATGTACAGAATAAAGTGTCTTACAAAATAATAGTGAGCGCAGCGTCAGCTCAATAGACTAAAGTGTAAGAACGCCAGGGCTCTCACACCACTTTTTGGGACTGGGGCCGGGGCCATTCATATTGGGAAAATTATCATCATTTTGGGAAAATTGGATAACCAAAATTCTTTAAAAAAAATCCTCAAATTTTGCTTTTCTAGCATTTTGTCATCAATTTAACTCTGGTTTTGAATAAACAGTTAAACAGAACAAACATGGGTACGTAGGCTATTTATAAAAGTACATTAGCTTTGTCATTACTATCTTTGAGTGTTGATAATTGCGGTTATAAGTCTTTCTGAGTGACAGTCGCTAGTCAAGTAGTCACGAATTTCCTCGATCACATGGACAACTTTGCTTACCAATTGAATACAGCGCGAGACTGAACATGCCGAAGCTTGGGTATGTAAATGTTTCTAGGTGCAGCTTACTAATGTTTAAATGAAATGTCTATTTTTGAAACCCATACGATGTTTTTTGTTGAAACTACATGACAAGATACTCTGCTCTCATAGTTAGTACATATTTTTGTAAAAACAATTACCTGGTTCCCCGAACCAGTTTACGAATGCATTTGGCGCGAACTATCAAAATAGTAGTACAGTTTCACTTTCATTTGCAAGTGTGTTTCGTTTGGGTTTTTTGCGATTAAGTTTCAGGGACTTTTATTTTTTAATTAATATTTTGCTATGGAAATTGGGAAATTTACACCTTTCTTTTGGGAAAAAAGATACCTTTTTAGCATTGGGAACGAGGCCGAATATCGGCCCCAGATATAGAGAATCGAGAGCCCTGAACACTTACAGAGGCATGAAATATCTATACAAATGTCAAGCAAATTTTTGTGTGAAACCTTCTCAGAATTCCTTTGCTATTAGGATTCCATGTGATAATGGCAAATAAATAAATAACATAAAAAAATAAAAGGCTTTCAGTTTTTAGAAATCTTAGAAGCAACAAGAAAATACTCTATATATGTCTTTTGTCAAAAATTGCATAAGGCTTATAGTTTCAACCAGATGCTCAGCTGTCTCCGTTAACTATGACGAACATCCGATACATCGTGTGATGTCTGCACAGCTAGTCGAGGTGTCTCCTGCGACTTGATGTTGCTGATCAATGTTTCAAGTGTGTTTTTGACGGTAAAACTGCGCTTGCCCCAATGGTCACACCGTAAAATATTTTATTTTTCAACACCCAGACCCTGTGTTTTATGTCAAATGTTAGAATGGTTCATGACTTGATCATGTAGTAATGTTTAACATCTCCTGTATAATATTCAAAATAATTGGACTTTTTCAATTAATTTTCTCAATAACAATATTAAATGACTACCTCTCAAATGTAACCCATATGGCGCTCAGAACATTTTAACCCAACCACTGACTAAACAATGACAGGCACCTCCAGTAGTTTCAATTACTGAAATGTTGGACATGACAAGAATAAAGTAATTTGCATAAACAACACGACCAACTTCAATCAGCTGTTCGTAATGTACATTGCAAACGTTTTGACCTCACTTACACACATTCATTGATTAAAAAGAATCAAATGTAAGTGTTTAATGTGTCTCATTTATCATCCAAGGTTCGGAGAAAATGATCTTTACCTTTGAACTAGATCCATCTTCTTTTCCCGTTCACCAACGGTGCCTTCTTCTGTCATCTTTCGTCATAAATACGGAGACACACCCAAGGAGCAATTTCATTGGATAAAAATAACTTCCCGTACACTGAACTATCTACTAGTAATTTGTTGATGTGAAAAAGTATCCCAGTTCTGTTAAAAAGCCTAAAATTTAAACTTATATAATATTTGAATTTTAAATCGATTAATAGATAAATGCATCATAATATTATATCTAACCAGTGGAAAATATTTATTCTCTGCGGAGCATGAAAACAAGCAGTCACTGAAACGAAAACAAGTCCTCGAGAATACGGAAGAAAATTATGTTGTTACTCTTGTTTCTTGTGCTAGGTAATGCGTTTAGATTTTGATTAACACTGTCTTTAATATCCTTAATGGAGATTGTTGTGACATATCCCAATTTCAAAGTGGTAGAACGAAATATGATGAAATTGCATAATTTTAGTACACGTGCACTTGACTCAAAATCATATGATTATATCTCTCCACTGATCAAGACTTATCGATTTTAGGCTTATGTCATATATATACCTTTTTATACCTGTTAGTTGGTGCATTGAGAAACAAACTTGACGAGCTCCATAGTTCCTGAAACAACAACGCTTTACAAAATTACATATTTAGACAGGCTCAGCTCTTATAAGCTCATCTTAATGGTTTTAGAATCTATAGATATAAACAGGAACCTTTGATATACTATATACACTTAAACTTTGTTATTTTTTTTAATGGTGTGACCGTTAGGGCGAGCGCCATCGAAAAACACTTAAAAAATTGATCAGCCACTTCATACATCAAGCCGCACGAGACATCTCAACTAGCTGTGATGTCACAAGACATCACGGAGCTCATCAAAGCTTAGGTAGACTGAATTTATACACAGCTAGTGCAATTTGGGTCGAAAAAACACTGCAGTTATTTTTTGTTTCTTTGAAAGATTTCTACAAACTGAAAGCCTTTTATGCTTTTAAGTTTACTTATTATTTTTTTATTCGTGCAAAGGACATTGGGCAGTAAAGGAATTCTGAGAATGTTTCCGAATTTCCTCTGTTCTTACACGTTACTTTATTGAGCTCACTTCACGCTTCACGACGCTTGCTGCGCTGGCTATTACAAACTCAATCGAACTAAGATTAACCTTCAGGATGTCCCAGGAGAAAACAATGTTTAAAAATATGTTTTACGGTGTGGCCATTGGGGGGAACGCATTTGTACCATAATAAAACACACTTGAAACATTGATCAGCCTGATCTTCAGACACCATTAAGTCACACGAGACATCTTGACTAGCTGTGACGTCACAGAGCTCATCGGAGCTAAAAAATATGGAGACAGATGAGGGTCTAGTTGAATCTATAGATCTAGACTGGCTAGAGCAATGTTTGACGAAAGTCATTGTAGAATATTTTCTTGTTTATTGTTTCTTTTAAGATTTCTACAAACTGAAAGCCTTTTATGTCTTATGTTATTTATTTATTCTCTAATATCACATGGAATCCTGGTAGCAAAGGAATTGTGGGAAGAAAATTCAATCAAAATTTTGCTTGATGTATGTACAGATTTCATTTCGAATTTCACTGCACTCACTGTTGCTTAATCATTTAGTTTGCTTCTGAGAATTCTTTGTATGACTATAAAATGCTAGACTTTGAATAAATGCCATTGAATGTGTTCACTTTGAGCCTTTCTTATGCTAGGTATGTATACCCCATCATGTCCATGGTATGCGAGATATCAGATTTTCAGATACTGAAGTTTCACTGTAGCTATTTGTTATACGTTGTTGGCCTGGCCTTATCAACATTAGATGCATTAACCACAACAACTGCTCCTGATCCCACTGTATTTGTAATTTGCTGTGGAACATGGCTCATCAATATTAGTTGTATACAACAACAGCTGCCTGCCACAGGCACCTGACATTTCTTATTTTCATTCTAATAAAAAAAAAATTATTATTTTAAAAGAAAAATAAGTAACGTCAGGTGCCTGTGCTGCACCCTGATCTCACTGTATTTGTTATTTGTTGTAGGCGTAGCCTCATCAATATTAGCTACAGCAACCACAACAACAAAAACTGCCCCCTAATCACACTGTAATCAGCATTTGTTATAGGACTGGCCTTATCAACATTAGCAGTAGTAACCATAACAGCTGCCCTTGATCTCACTTTATTTGTTATTTGTTATAGGCTTAGCCTCATCAACGTTAGCTATCCCAGGCACGACAACAACAACAACAACTGCAGCCCCTGATCTTGCCTGTCCCATGTGGAGGAACTATGTGGATACCTTTAATCGTGGGGGTGGGGGCCAATCTGTGAGAGACCGGGGGGTGATGTTTATGTGTAAATTCCACCCAGAGAAGTGTGAACAGTTGGACTGTGAGGGAAGGTTCAGCAATGCATTGGTAAGTTCATCATCGGAAACCCACCGTTGGTCTCACATCTCTTACCTCCTTTAGGATAAGTCACATTAGGTTGGGCATATAAGTGAGTCTAGCGAAAATTTTGGCCTTACGTCCCATAGGAGGTAAGAGAAGCGAGAATGACTGTGGGTTTCCAACGATGTGGTAAGTTAGAGGAAAGGTTCTGTATTGCATTGGTAAGTCAGAGGGAATGTTCAGCAATGCATTGGTAAGTTAGATGGAATGTTCAGTAATGCATTGGTAAGTTAGAGGGAATGTTCAGCAATGAATGGTTTAGTTAGAGGGAATGTTCTGCAATGCCAGTCTTCACCAAATCTTTTACACTAGCCCAAACAAATATTTACATGCCCAGAATTATATCAAGTAATTTTATTCTTATTTGCTGATTCACGCCAAGGAAATGATACAAAATTCATTTCTATCAATCTATTGTCTAGCTCTTAACATTGTTCCTAGGATAAACTGTCTCTAAAACTTTCTTTTGTGCTTGAAGCTGTTTAGATGAAGAATCAAAGACTTTTAAGTATATTTAATGTTTTTGGTATTATTTAATGTGATAAAACAGAGGCTTATGCCTCAGAATTTACATGCCCTTCAGGCTTGTAAGTGTACAGTTTCCACATGCCCGCTTCCAATTTTACCAGGTCCCAGGCTTCGGGCTCCCAGGATTAGGTGAAGACTGCAATGCATTGGTAAGTTAGAGGGAATGTTCAGCAATGAATGGTTTAGTCAGAGGGAATGTTCAGCAATGAATGGTTTAGTTAGAGAGAATGTTCAGCAATGAATGGTTTAGTTAGAGAGAATGTTCAGCAATGAATGGTTTAGTTAGAGAGAATGTTCAGCAATGCATTGGTTAGTTAAAGTAATGTACACTGTATACAGTGTATAATATTTTTTGGAGGAGGTTATATCAATTTTGTTGAATATTACTCTACATGTATATAGAGAATATAGGGACCATTCCTTGTTATAGAATATATTACGAATGTAATAATACCACTTGCCTTTACAGACAGGAACCTTTCAGTATTGTTTAAACATGATCATGAACCACTGTGATAATCCTATCAGTATGGACGTCAGCATCAGCGTGGATAAATTCAACTTTAACTTCGCTCAGCGAGTCACACACAATTCTCGATTCCCTCTGACAATCAATTTTCAGAGTAAGGATTTTCTGTAAAGCCTAGATAAATAAATTATGTGTTTCCGATTCTCCAACCTACTCTTATTAAAAATATAGGAGCCACCCCTGAACAATTTTCTGCCAATATCTTTCCAGGAGTAAACTAGTCCAATTTTACAATTAGTAATCCCAATCTTGATCAATTCCATGTTTAAGGAAATGCATATCATACACATATTAATCAGAAATATTTTTACAGCGATATCCTGGGGAAAAATGCCAGCGTGCCTGCCAATAAACATGATAAAATGTTAAAATAAAATGTTTTCCCTACCTACCCGAAGGCTTCCTTTTCGAAGGTTGAAATCACAGGAAACGCACTATTTATTTATCTTGGCCTAATTATTTCTTTCCTAAAAAATCTTTGGAAATCTTTTTTTTTTAATTCACAGATTCTAATAGATGAATAGATAGCTTTACAAAACATATATTAATACATTTTCTGTAAATTTTTCATGAGAGAGAGAGAGAGAGAAGAGACTGAGAAAGAGAGAGATAGAGAGAATAAAAAAATCACATATTAGTATTAAGCAGATTCTTCCAGGGCTCCTAGGCTTTGTCAGAGGTTACCTATAAGTATATATAATTTTGTTGCTTCCCCAATATATTTGTTTGAACATTGAAAATCTTTCTCAGTAATCCTTTCCACAGGCAAATCTTTCACAGTAATTCTTTCCACAGGCACTTGGGGTGTAGACCCCCCTTCTTTTCCTACTTTTCCCATTTGTTGGTTGAACAATGGGAGAAAAAAAAATGTAAAATTTGAAAAAGCTTTTCATAGACAAAAAGAGTGACATCATTGAAAACATGTGAGAATACAGAAATAGGAAAAAAAAGTATGGTGATCCTTGATCTGAAAAAAAAAAATGAAAATGAGGGATCTATATGCCAAGGGTCTGTATTTCTGTCTCATGGATGTATTACTTATAGGTCTGATTTTTTTTATGAATCTTTCACAGATACCAGCCTTTCTGGGATTCCCCTTCATGAGTACCTGGAGTTCACTCTGGTTAAGCTGAATGCCACAGCTGTCAGATTAGGAGTAAGTAACTAACAATATACTGTAAACGTATAACATTTGGCGGTGTATTTTTTTTACCATTTTTGGCGGAAAGAAACTTCAGCTAATTCAAGTACAACGATAAATATCTTAAACATATACATTAATAAGAACATAAAGAAATGTGCTAAATCAAATCTGCACTAACTTGTTCAAAAATCAATCTGCCAAATATTGTACATGCTAAATATAATACTTTTACAGTATTTTCTTACCCCACCCTTGTTGATTTTTTGAGGACATCTTGGCTTACGATTGGTTAAAGTAGTTGTCACATTGAGGGGGTGGAATACTTATACCCAGTCAATAGTAAATCAGTACACCATTGATGTGGAATTATCATTCTTTTGAACTATGGCTTTGCCTAGCCATGTATGAAATTTACTAACCAGGTATCATTCCAAACCCTGTCACTAAGAAACTATGTAACTAATATTACTCGGGTTTGTTCTTAAGACCTGGGAGCTTGGAAATTGCCTTGCCTTTGAGTTCGAAATCTCCTTGGGGTGTTCTGGTACCTTTCCTACACTTCTTAGTAGGGAGGCCCCCTTCCTTTTGATGCATTGGGAAACATGAACTTGTTGGTCTTTTCATTCCAAAAAAACATCAAAAAACCTGCCCAGCAAAAATTTGACAATTACCAGTATTAACTTAGAGCCCCATGGCATGGAAAGGCTTCTTCTAAATTTGAAAGTATATATAATTTTGTTGCTTCCCCAAATCTCAATGTTTTTCTTTTCCCTTTTCATTATGTAGATGAAGCTGGCGACTGAGTTGTGTATCCCAAGCCTCGGTTGTACCTTTAACAAGAATATAAATCTAATACCAGACAGTGTGGTACCTGTCTCTACATGTGCTAAATCAACCGTAACACCTCTACCAAAGGCACCAAAGTGTGGCAAAGGAATCACTGGTGGTGGTGGTAAAGTAGTATTCACCACCACCAAAATGCCACCACACACCACCTACAAGTCAGGTATGGGTAGTGTAATGATAAGTTATGCTGTGGTTTTATTCACCATTATTACAATGCCACCACAGAACACATTCAAATCAGGTATATTCCTTGAACGCTCCACCCACTGAACACTTTCATTGGTTAAAATTACTAATAAATATTCATGAGGGAGTAGTCCCAGGCAGTAGCTCTGATTTTCCAGGGAGTAGTCTTCAGATGAGGGAAATAGTCTCTTCTCGGTGAAATAGACAGTTTTATGGTTTTAATTTTATATAGAGTAATTACAGTAGAAGTGTAATAATATAAGATATATGCATTATAATAATGCCAAGTAGCACACACATATTACATGAAGGCATTAGTAATTCCAAAGGTCTCTCATTCATTTGAAAATACTACCAAGAAAGCAAGGTGCAATATGGGTTAATGTTGACATTGATAATGATGTGTTTTAACTGCCAATTCAATCACATAATTATTCATGTAGATATCAGGAATGAAAAAAAAAATGTTTATTATAATAATAAAGGTGACTTGGAAAATATTTTTCCATACAGTTGTCATAGCTCTTAGGGCAAACATGTATAAATCAGAAAATTGATAATTAGAACTATCTTTTTTTATATACCTGAAGTTTACTGTCTAAAATTAACTGGAAAAAAGCTTTTCTTTTCTAAATAACTTGTAGTTTATATATTTTTTTTTAATTTCATGCAGCTTCTTTTGGGAAGAACTGTTCCATGAATAGTGCTGATAGAGAGAGTAATATATGTGGAAAGAATGAGATGTGTAAACAGGGCAAATGTGCCTGCTTCACGCCACGATTCCCTCTGTGCCAGTACACCAATCTATGTCAGACGGAAGGTATGACATAACACCAATTAATTTAGCTCACCTGAGCAGAAAGTTCAGGTGAACTATTCAGGTCAAAATTTGTGTCAGTCTATTATTGTTTTCCATGCTGTTGTTGTCATTTTTGGTCATGGTTAATGCAATTTTTAACCGAACTTGGCACATACATGTAGTTCCCTCTGTGCCAGTACACCAACCTATGTCAGACAGAAGGTATGGCATAACACCTACATAATTTAGCTCACCTGAGCAGAAGGTTCTGGTGAACTATTCAGGTCAAAATTTGTCGTCTATTATTGTTTTTCATGCTGTTGTTTTCATTTTTTTCATCTTTATTGCCAATTTTAATCAAACTTGGCACATAATTTTCTTTGTGTCAGTACACCAACCAGTGTTACACAAAATGTATTGCATAACACCTACTCATTTTAAGCTCACCTGAGCAGAAGGTTCAAGTGAACCATTCAGGTCAAAATTTGTCTGTTGTTATTGCTTTTGTTAGCTTTCAATCAACATTTGTACCTTGTCTGTAATTGTTATAGTCACATACTGTTGTTTTGTCGTTGACATTGTTATTGTTGTCATTTTCTCAGGGCCAATTTTAACCAAACTTGGCGCAGAGTTTTCCCTTATCAAAGTAATACAAAGGAGCTGTGTTTATCACTCCACTTGATCCTTTATTACAGTGCTCCCAATCTATCTGTGTCAAATACAAGATATAGACATTTCACATTTTTTTATCAAAATGCAATGGAACTGCAAGTAAAAAAAATCGATGAAAATATATAAAATTATGTTTTTATAGAAATGCTATTTATAAGAAAAATCACAAAAAAATCACGTTAAATATTGGATGTAAAATACCATGATTTTATCATGATATTTTAGGTGAGGATTGTGATATATTGCAATGTGAGTTTTTGGCAATTAAGACCCATCACTATTTCATGTTGCAACTCTACTTTTCATAATTGATTAAGAATTCTTATATATTAGACTTTGTCATGGGTAGCAAATGATAATTTCTGATGTACCAAGTATATGTGCTTCTTTAAATTACTTTGGGCATCTTCTGAAGGATATTGCTTATATTTCTTTAAATGTGACTTACCTCTTAGAGAAGTACATTTGCTGAGAAAATACTGATAAATTGATATTATGTAAAAGAAACTTGGTTGTATTTATGTCAGTGTGACTTTATTGTACCCATTGGCATTGAAAAAGAACTTTGTTATAGTGTTTGATGTTTTTGTCAATTCCCAGAGAGCTGTGCAAAACACATCATTCCTTCACTGGAGTTTGGGCCCAGTAGCCCTCACAAAAGCCCACATTCCAGCTCATCTGGAGGCCCAACAAACAGTAAGTAGCCAATCAAAACATTTGTTACATACATGTACACACAAATAGTAAGTAGCCATTCAAAATACTGGTTTCATAATTTTGATAGATGAACCCACAAACAGTAAGTAGCCAATCAAAACTCTTTATACACCACTTCATCTGATGGCCCTACAAACATAATCAAATTTTCTAAAAATCTTTTTCAGCAATGGGAAAGCAGGACAAAAATATGATGAATTATAAGGATAAATCAATAGTGATCAAGCAATATTTTATGATTATGGCATTTGTGAATTTTGCAGAATATTTTGTTGAAAGTAAAGGGAAAATGAGATGAATATAGATGAACATATTGAGAGGGAAATTTATTTGTATGTCCTTTGATTTGTATGTCACTCTGTTTGTTAAACTGGGAGTAGCCATCAAAAGAATCAACAACTGAATCTGAAATAAAACCCCATTAAAATAAAACCATCAGAACAATACATGTTTTTCAAAAAACAGTGATTTCTGAATGCAGTTTGATGAAACTTTCGTGAGATCCTTGGATCGAAGTGTTGTTGAGCATTTCCTATTTTATGTTTCAGTGGATACTTAATGTATTGACTCAGAGGGTATATTTATTGTAAACACAGACTTTGTTGTACTTTAACATTTGGTTACTTATCTCTTGTTTGAAACTCCTTTCATATCACTGAATAATTTTTTTTGAAGCTACCAGAGTATCATAACATAGTACAAATGTACCCTTACCATTTCATATTTATTATTTTTAATCCAACATACATCATTTGGGGTTTTCTATTGCTTAATTCATTTAACTGTCCTTATTTCTTTTGTTAGAAACAGCTCTTATTGTTGGGGGAACTCTAGGAGGAATTATATTCATCGTCATAATTGCGGGAATAATTATGGTCATATTGAAGAAACGTGGGGCCAATTATAGAGGGCGCCAGCTGTTACTAACTGAGGATGATACAGATGGCATTATATAAAGAAAGAGAAATGTGGAGGAACTTCAAAAAGAGGATTGGATTCTTAGTGGCCGATTCCATTTAGATTTAGATGTAAGCATCAAATGCTGAACTCTGTTTGCAAGATTGTATTTTGTCTTTAGAGATTATATGCTCATCCCTGCATTGTTTTTATTTTTTTTGTTTGGAAAACATGCTCTTAAATTTGCAATAGATATGTAAAAATCATGTAATTATATACTTTATACAACATTATTTTCATCCTGTATACGCTTTTTTCCACATTTGCAAGTATATTCACTTTAATTTGCATAGGCCTAATTGTGTCGAGGTAATAACACTGTTTTTATTAAAATTGACCCTTTTTAATCGGCCCACTTAAAAGAGAGGCAAAAAGAAAGTGGAGACTTTACATTTTTGTGTAATATATTGTAATTCGTTTTACATTTAGACCAAAAAAGAAATTAAGCTATAGTTTTCCAGGTAGTTAGGCATCTTGGATAAGACTTTTGTATTGATAATTTTCTTTGCTATTTCAGTATGTATTGAAAAGTGAAATAACTCAATTTTCTATTTCTGAAAGTAAAAAAGGAATAATGATGTTATGCCCCTTTTCAAACATGCTAACAAACATGCTAACAAAAAGATTTTTTTTAAAAATTTTCTTTGTTAATAACTTAACTATATAGAAATATTTTTTGTTCAAAATTGTTGGAATAACATAGTTTGAACTGAGTATATCAAATTATAATGAATAATATTACATGTAGACACAGTCACACTGTTAGAGGGGAAAAAAACTAAGAATCATTTGATCATCATCATTTGTTGCCTGATAAACAGAGATAACTATTTCAAAACAAAAATAACAAGGGACCTACCTGCCACATTGAATATTGAAATTTTTAATTGATTTTGCTCTAGATCTGAAATTTACTTTTGATAATTTTAGTATACCTTAGAAGCAATTAGATCTGTAAAATATTTTTTGTGAGAAATTAGAGTTACTCATTTTCAGAAAAGGTTTTTCCTTTGAAGTTTATTTATGTTTGTATTTAGTAATACATGTATAATAATTCTACAAAGATCTGGTTTTTTTTCTTCGTTCCAAATATACTTTGTCTTTTTAGTTTTTGAGGTGTTGTGTATTTCTTTATTTTTCATGCACTATATGTAAATTCATTGGTTGCTTTATGGTTATGATTTTTGGAGTCATTTTCATCAGTGTCTGCGTATCGTCATATTTTTCATCAATTTTCATTGTTTGAATTTGATCATCATCTGTTTTCATTTTATGCTTTTGGATTTGATCTTTGGAGTCATCATCATCATTCTATTCATATCATCATTTTCATCATCTTCTTTATATCATGATCATTTTCATCACCATCATCAAATATAATCATCATCGTTTCCATTATCATAGACAGCCATAATGAAATAACGCAATGTTGCTGCAAGATGCTTTTCTCCTAGAGAAGTATCACCTGCCTATACATAATAACCTGTAAAATATATTGTAAATGAAACTTAACTATACAATATATTGTAAATGCCATTTACTGTACATGCCATTTACTGTAAACCAACTTTTATTCACATGCAAGAAATATCCTCTACTTTCGTGACCTACTTTAAATTGCAAATAAAAATCGCCTTGGAACCATTTATATTGTTTTATATTTGTGGAGAAATTATTTTCTGGCTACCAAAAATTAATTATTGCAGATAGAGATTAATTTTGAAACTGACAAATCGAGAATAAAAGATGATGCCATTGATAGTTGGTTTACAGTACCTTGTACAATGTATATGATATTGTCAATGATCTGTGTTTACTTATTTTATCATGGTTCACCATTATCTGACATGTAACATACCAAACATCCCCTACTGTGATATTTTATTCAATATGTTTAACATGTTTAACAAAGAAGATATAAAGAAATAACACAGTCAGCTCAAATTCATTGGAACTAAACAATAACCATCTTTATTCTTTCTTTAGATCATTTTATTTGGGTTTTTTTTCTTCATCATGGTAAAAATTATGGATCAATTCCAAATTTAAGATTTCCAATGACTGTATATTCAGTAATGAAAACATAATACGCTTAGAATGCTATTATATGCTTTCATTATAAGAAGCGTAAGTTTTACAAAGTGAATATGGATTATGTTAATTTCTTTTTTGTCAAGTAAAATGTCATTTTGTAAGCTCACCACATCATTTGATTTATCTACTAAATCAATTTTTATTTTCTATTGATTTTTTTTATCGATTGAGGTGCAAAATTTTATTATTATTTTCTAACAAGTATACTTAAATGATTCTTGTGTTATATTTAAAATTATTTTGAGTTTTGAATTTTGAAGAAAATTTAGAACTGTATAATTAGGTTTACTACACCTTTTATTGAATTTTCTTTTTAACACTTTATCTCCCTTAAAACCATTAGCTTGTGTTAAAAATGAAATGTTTTCTGTGTCTTAAGCTTTGCAGATTATCTATGAAATATGTTTAGTTTCAGTAGAATTTGTAAGTTTTTATACGTATATGATATAATTTTGTATAATGTATTTGGAATTCTCAATTTTTTTGCATATCATTAATGCCTGTCATATAATTATGTGTATTATGTGTAATTTCTATGTTTAATATTTTATATTCATCCCCGCGAATTGCATTTATTAGAAAATCATACTACATTGTACTAGGCTTATGTGCAGATCTACTATATACATGTATTTACATCGCATTTTCATTTCCGAGTTAAAATTAACCAAATGCTTTTAAAATTTGTGCTTACTTTAAAGCCTCATATAAAAGGATTTTTGGTAATTTTTTGCAATGAATTCGTTAATTCTAAAAAATATATGTTGTTAATTTTTAAAGCACAAACAATAAGCTAAAAATAGAAAAGAATTATCTTCATTAAAATAGCTAACAAATTAATGATGGCCCATAAGAATTCTACTTTTCAGAATACATATCAAGGTTTATACTCAGTATCACAAATCTCTCCTTGAAAGTTTGCATAATACATTTAAAGGGACATGGTCACAGTTTCAACTGATTTTTTAAAAACCAATTTTAATGTTTACAATTCCTAATTAGGGCTATTCAAATGATCAGCAAAAATTTGATCATCATTTGTTGATTTACAAAGGAGATACATTATCAACTTAAAATTCTTCATAATGTTAAGTTTTAACAAGACTTGTGCCTTCTTTTGTTTACATATAGTAAACATATTTATAACAAAACATGATTCAGTAAATCACTAGAAACTGTCTAATGGTATTTAGAATGAACTTCTTTATTGAAAATATCTGCATATTAGTATATTTTAACTAATAGTATGTAAACAAAAACATGACATGGGCCTTGTTTACATAAAGTTTAAGAGCTCTAAATATGTCTTGTGTCTCGGCAACTGAGATTTATATTTTTGGTAATCATTAAAAATACCTTAGTGAAGTATTTGTAAGCACAAAAAAAAAATGGAAAAAATAAATCGAAATATTTTCAACCTAAACTATTTCCATGTCCTTTAAGAGGCACCTTTTTGGCCATTGTTTGTCCAGTGGCTCCAAACCTTGATATGCTTGGTGTTTCATTTTGTTAGAGTTGTGAATTGCAATGAGATACATTTAAACATTCCTTTGAATAAAATTTGTTTTCAATACTTTTATGGTTGTTATTGTATTTTTATTAAGAAAAAACGTAAGTTATTGTAACTTCATGTTGGATGAAAACTTAAATGATTGTTTGTGTTTATTGACTTTATTTATGAATTTTAGCAAAAGATAATACAAATACAAATATTTATTAGCACAAACACAGCATTGATAATTGCCAAACACATGAAAAAATCATTTGGTCATATGCAAAGATATAAAACTGAGTGAGAAATCAGAAATGCATTAGATATAAATTTATACATGTATGAGCATGTTCTACTATCAATTCTAGGTGCGAAATTACAATATAGATAAAAACTTAATGTGTTATTTCATTAAAAACCGTAGCCAATATCTGAACCGCAGAAACGGTATTTCTCTAAAATTGCTGACAAGGATGTGGGATATAAAATATTGTAAAGAAATTGTAATCACAATACTTGACTTCCATATCAAACGACTGAGTAATTTTCATACTCATTATAGCTTCACCTTAATATATACATGTACATGTATTTCCATTGAAATCCTTTGTCAAAGTACAAAAAACAAATTTACTCTGAAATAAAAGAAAAAAATATTCTTATTTTGCAGACTTGTTCTTATCTGTCTAACTTGATATCAAATGTCCAGAAAAGCAACTGTAATTGTCAGAATTTATTAAAGCTTTTGAGCTTTGTGAATTTCGACACCACACGTCTTGACCAGCACTAAGTCCGACGGTAACATTAGCTGTGGATGAGAGGTAGTCATTCCCACCTTCGAACGTACGACTGATTTCTGTTCCATCTCTCACCATCTGAATATTTATCGGGTGTGATGCCATTGACTATATATGGTCATTGAGAAGTGATAGAGCCCGGAAACAGGTGCCCGAAACAAACCATGCCGTGAGTAGAAACCATTACCGTCGTTTGTGATCACGTTGTCGAATTCGATTGGTTGGTGGTAGCCAATACTAACTGCACTTGGTGATGATAAACACGCTGTAAATCCAACTTGTTGTATCGCCTTGTCTGAAGGATCTGTGTGAAAAGAGGATTTGGTAAGCAAAGAAATGCGCTCATTGATTCGGCCTAGAAAAGTTTGCATGCGCCAACCATAAACATTGTTTCATGTATTGTTAAAATGAATTTAAAAAAAAACTTAAGTGCCAACAAAAAAGTCTTTTAGGAGAGATGTAATTATACGTCAGATCAGCGGTTTTTTTGTCCTCACAATGTTGACTTTTCAGTAAGTTGAGGAAAAATATTTTGATAACGTGTTCCAAAAGTGAAGATTATTTGATTTTTTCTCTGTATACAGTATATATCATTGAAAACAACATTTTCATAAATCACTGGTATGACAACAATTATCAATTTAAAATTCTCGACAGATTTTGCCTCAAATGTCTTGATAAACCGGAAAAATTGTTGTAATTTATACAACTATTTTTTTTTTTTTTTTTTTTTTTTAATCAGATCTGAGCATCGATATTTTAAAAATATTGTAAATAGTTTAAGTGCGAATTGAAAATTTAAGTCACATATTCACTATGAATTATGTATAGTCTACATTGATCTTGATTTTAGAACTGATGTTGAAAAAAAAGGATATGGAGATAACAAACAGTATTCAGTCTCAAAGTCCATAAAACAATACAAAGAAGGAGCAGAGCAAACACGGACCTCCGAAAAATCAGAGGTGGGATCAAGTGCCATGGAGGATTAAGCATCCCCTGCTGACAGGTCACACCCGCCGTGTGCTCCTTGTTCTGATCAGGGAATAACGAGTGATGAACTATCTTTTACTAAAAACTAAATAATTGTGGAATGATATTTTTCAAAAAAGATAACTACATATTTTCTGGTTTAAGTAATGAAATAAATAATGAAATTGGACAAAATCTACCATTTGCAAGTGATTTTACAAAATGTTGTTTTCAATGAAAGAGATAGAGAAAAAAAATAAAATTATCTTCATCCACTTTAAGTACGCATCTATGCCAATAGCATGCTGCCAAAAAAAGATTAAATTTCGCAAAGAAAGCGGCTTGGAACTTTGAAACATGTTATTGAAAACTGATTGTTTTTTAATGACAAAACTAAAACATTTTGTTTATAAAAATGAACTTGCACTTCTTCATGATTTTAGATAAGTAAATTTTGTAAATTGTCAATCTGCTATCTATTCTATTTGGTTAGAAGGGAGAGGGTAAGAAATTGATTCTAATCGGACAGAAAAGCTTAAATCAGTGAAAATAGTTATATATTTATAAATTCATAACGAAATACTTGTTATCTGCAAAACAGTTCAATATCCATGTGTTCATCAGGGCTTACTTTACTGTTGTCTTATTTACGAAATATCAACATCTATGATACAACGGTATAAAATTATGAAAAATACATATTTCTCCATTATTTTGTCATTAAGGTCTATATTACCTGAAAAAATCATTTCTTCAAAATGATATGAATTTTCACACAAAGATTTTTGGAGATATTGTCTGATTCATGGAAGAATTTTTAAAAATACAGCAAGAAAGAAGTTTAAAAACTTTCAGACAAAGGTCCATCCTTAACTTAAAAAAAAAGTTAAAAGCTTTTAATTTGCTTACTCTAATTTGTTCATAGAAGGGGACATGATGGTGCGACAATAATCTCCGTCAAAGTATTCCATTCGGTCAAGTGGGAACAATGTTAGACGGAGTAGAACTCAACAGTGCTGCAGTTGCATTATAAATGTTACATTGCCTCGACTCATCCTGAATACAAACTTAAGGTATACTCGTAAAACTGATGAAAAACATCAACTTTGCCGAATTTTGGAAGTGTGATAAAGAAATAATATTGACTGTTTCCTACTGTTCATTGCTTCCAGCGCTTGCAATCTTTGCTCTAGAATCTTTACTTTTTGTTTAAGATCCATCACATCAATTTGCCCGACCGTTGACACATTTAGAGAATGTGTAAGAGCAATAAATGCGGACAGAAAGAGTAATATTTCGTGCCAGTTTCTAGACATTTTCTTCTATCAATTCCTGTACTTCGCCGTATAAAAAATAAACTTTCAGATGATAATGTCCTGCGATCCTTTTTATATCCTACAGAGAAGAAGGGAATGAGGACTTATTTATCTGTACTCGTTTATTTATTCTTATTTTCTGTAGTTTAAGAGCACTGCATATTTATTTTTGGTAAAAGACTAATTCCCTACTGATAACTTACGAGTACTGTCTATGCAGGTAGAAATGCAAATAAAACTTTTTTAATGATGAGATCTCGTTGCGAGCAGCGTATTTCATTGGATAATATAAGAAGTTGATTGAGATTTCCGTTCAAATATCGATAATACTTTAGTAGTTAATAAGTTTAAAGTTGAACTATTTCTGCTTCAATAATTTCTCACAAAATAAGATAGACTGAATGAAATTTTATCCTACAAAAATCCCTTTGTTCAATGAAAAAATAATTTTAAAAATATCTCACTGCACTTTGCTTCGAGAGCTTGCAACCTTTGCTCCAGTATCCTCAATTCCCGTCGTAGTTCAACCATTTCTGTTGGCCCTGCTATCGACACGTTTAGAGAATTGGCTAGGGGAATAAATGTGAATAAAACGAGTAATATTCCATTCATTTTTTGATTCCTCTTTATCTTGTACATATTAATGTTTCAAAGTATAAACGACGATGACTCTAAAACATATTTTGGACTGGTGTCCAAAGTACATTGTAATATAAAAAACGTGCTGAAATTTGGTATTTGTACAAATATTACATTAAGGTCAGACGATACGTTCCCCAAAAATCTGTTTTGTATATCTTCATAATATATAAAAAATATATACCAAATTTTCATTACTTTCTAATTTCTAAACCGGTTTCTAATTGGTTTTAAAAATTTGAAACGCTAAAAATGTGATTTTAGCAAACTAATTTTTTTCCTTAAAGGATTATATAAGAAATGCCACCCTGTGGTATCTCGCACTAATGCCCGGTAAGGTACCTCATTTTTTTGTGAGTAAACATGTTAAAGTAAATTCTTCAATGACAAAATCTTGGAAAAAAATTATATATTATTTAGGAACGTCTCGTCTGTCCTTAAGACTCTGTCAATATGAGCTGCAAGTTTGATTTCGAATTTTTTGTTGAGATATTGTAATTAACTATTCAAATGACAGAAAAAAAGAACATTTATTAACTTTTATCCTTTATAATTTAGACAGAAGAACTATTTATATGCTTTGATTGAAGCAAAATTACATTATTTCGAGATTTCGTCTGCTCTCAGTAAGATGAGAAGTTGAAAAGACCAAGCGCGTGCGCATCAATGCTCATGTATTATTGACCATAGAGCCGTAATGATTTCGTAAATTGTATGGTCGATACAAAGACCTTGTCAGTAAATACAATTTATCAATGAGTTAGATGCTGACTGAACTTTTTCATACTTATTGCTAGACCGTTATTCATACACTGAATTGACGACGGATTTTCCCGTTATTTCCCGATCATAACAATGAGCAGACGTCGGGTTTGACCGGTAGGCAGGGGATGCTCACTCCTCCATGGCACCTGATCTCACCTCTGATATTCTGGAGGTCCCTGTTTGTTCTGCTCCTATTTTGTATTATTTTATGGACTTTTGGTCTTGAATATTATTCGTTATCTCCATATGTTTCATTCTCGAAAATTTTGAGGGAACGTTCTTAAATAAATGTTATAGTTTAATTTTGATTTCGTAGTCATTAGTTGCACACAGAAATGCATGATTTTATAAATATTTCTATCACCATAAAAAAGTACACATAAATTATCACACTTTAACAATTTATTCTTTCTAAATAGAAATTAAATGGCCAGAAAAGCAACTATTATTATCAGCCATTATCACAGCATTTGGTCTGTTTCGATTGCGACACCACACGTCTTGTCCAGCATTTAACCAGACAATGACATCCTTTGATGATGACAGATAGTCACTGTCACCAACGTACGTGTGAATAAGTTCTACTCCATCTTTTACCATCTGTATGAGCATTGGATTTGTCTTTGTTGAGTAGATTGTTATAGAGAAGTGGTAAAGTCCTGAGACAGGGGCACGAAAAGCGCCATGCCGAGAATCGAAACCATTACCATTGTTTGTGATCACATTATCAAATGGGATAGTCTGATGGAAACCAACACTCACTCCGCTTGATGATGAAAGACACGCTGTAAACCCGATTCTTTGCTGCTGTAGTTGAGCGGAAGAATCTGTTTGAAAGAAAAATGTTTGACTATTCAAGAAAACAATTAGTTTACTGTATATTAGCAGTTGCATGTTAGTAATTTACCTTCAGCAGAGGGATAACTTTAGAGGGGAAATATAAAAAAAGCACATTTACTAACGTATATCATTGGTTAAAAGGGTACAAACAGAAACTCCGGGGAAACAGAAAATCACGTACGGAGTAATGAAATCGGCATGGATAAAGATCCCCCAGTGCGCAATGACGCTGAATGTTGAACCCTCACTTGAATACTTGATTAAAAATTCTTGAACAAGACGTTAAACAATATTACGATCAATCAATATTTCCGAAATAACACCCCCCAAAAATCAAAGACATATGTAGTTCTTTTATCAAACGGCATTTTAGGTGGTTGAGAAAGTAGCTATTAATGCAATATCGGGGTAATTGATGGTATAAAGCGTTTTAATTGCATTGCTTGGTGAAATTCTATAATTAAGCGGTGTTTTTTCATTAAGGGTTGCTACATCGCCTGCCAAACCTTGTGCGCCTTGTCACATGATCAAACAAACAGGAAAATCCGAAAACAATTCAGTGTTTAAATAATGGCCTTAGATTTGTTTGAAAAATGTCAGTCAACATTAGACTTAATAATATGTTGTAGACAACTATGGCGATAAGGAATATATGTTTGTTATTGGGGTCAAGATAATTTCAATTCTAGGTTTTGAGAGAAGATGGAAACACAATGTCATTGGTATTATTAATGGTTTGAATAGATATCATGATCAATAATCTTCATTTCACTGAACATTTTCAAAAACAAAATGGAGAGTAAATAATTAATGATTATAATTGTAACAGAGATTCTTTTTGCAATTTTGTTAAGATATCAAATACGTGTCAATATATTGCATTTTGGAAACAAAAATGATCAAAGTTAATTAAGATGGTTTAAATTGCTCTGTAAATTTCAATAGAGGTTGCGAAAAGGTCAACACAAATTTGCTGTTAACTTTGTGTTAGCATTTGAGGATTTGAATCGAAGGTGTGGAAGGCGGCTCGCCATGATAAGATGGACACATATATGGTATACTTTCCAACTCTTTACATACATATAGGGGTTAGAAATAAAAATAGAGCGAATCAAATTTTATCCTACCAATAACTCCCTTAAACTGTACAATGAAAAGGTTAAATATGAAAATATCTCACTGCACTTTGCTTCAAGCGCTTGCAATCTTTGCTCCATCATCCTCAATTCCCGTCGGAGTTCCACCACCTCTGTTTGCCCTGATGTCGACACATTTAAAGAGCAGGCAAGGGAATTAAATGTGAATAAAAAAAGTAATATTCCATTCATTTTTGTGGGAGATTCCTCTTAACCTTGTACATAACAGAAGATCGATAAACTCTATAAACAATTATGACCTACAATCATTTTTATATCTCCTTTGAAGAAGATAGGATGGTGTCGTATTATGACCTTTCTTGTCTGCTAAACTTAATTTTGCACTTTGTAGGTAATATTGGTGCATGTTGCTTAACTCTTCAATCAACTCAACCTTGCTGCTGAAAATCCTGGTTGCTGTTCATCGACATGCCCAAAAATAAAGGTTCATCTTCTATAAGGCCATTTTCCGGCCTAGGATAAAATCTCTTTATCCGGATGAAAAATCCTAAAATGTGGTGAAGCAACATTCAATTGTCAATCACATATCGCATTGAAGAGCCGTCTCCTCCTTGCCAGTTTATTTTCAAAGAGAGAACTGCTGTTCTCCAAAGAAGTGCGATGAATAGATTGAGTCATCCTGATTAAGACCTAATTAACAAAATATATGGATCGTTTGTCACTCGTACGGAAAAGTGTTTCTCTAAAAAGTCGAGAAGAGAATTTCTGTTATAAAACCATCCCATCAGTAATTCCCTATCTATAAAATTGTGTGTGTGTACCCATAGAAAAGTCTATAACACAAATAGGAAATGCATTTTCCAGCTACAACAAAGAACATAGCTTTTATCATTTCTGGAACATATACAGCCTACTCCTGATATATTGAAATTCAGGGGACCATGAAAATTATTTCAGTATATCAGCGAAATCGTGAAGCCGCCATTTTTTTTTTATTAAAAGTTCAATCCCGATTTTAAAATAAAGAACAAACCCGAACAAATTAATTTTGTCATCGTTTACCTATAACAGTGTACAGATTACATGAAATATTAGTATTTGAAAGTTTAAATAAAATTTGTTTTTCTTTCTTTTTTGTCGATAAGACAATCTTCAACTTCATTAATTATTATTCCCCGATCGCATTTATTTACATTTTGGAGAAAAATCACCGATGTCAAACTGTTGAGTACTGCTGAATGCTGCATGTATTTCATCGTAAGTGTACTCGGGTTGATATCTTAGCTATTTCAAATTTAGGTTTATCATTAGCCATTAACAGTACAAATTTAATTTGAAAATTAAGTTTTTTCTAGATCTGTGGGGGTTACTATGTTGCCTTTAGCCTAAATACTTCCGTATTATATACATGGAAACAAATTTTAAAGAATTTAGCAGTGAATAATTTTATTTCATAAGAGCATGCAGTATAAAAACACATCAGGTGAAAACTTAATTATTCACACCTTTTTATATCAACTGGTCAGTCAGGCATAATTTCTGTCACCAACCGTAACGACAGCCGCCAGGGAGTACTTCAGTATAACCGTTATGAAAACAACTCATTATCACCTGTGGGGACTGATCAGTGGCTTCAATATAAGCGATATTTCAATATAGCCGATTTCAATATAACCGTTATTTTAATGCAAAGAATATGAGAGTCAAAAACCAGGGATTTATTTTTATTTCAAAATAAGCGGAATTTCAAAATAAGCAAGTTCAATATAAGTGGAGTAAGCTGTATTCAGTACTGAAAAGGAAATACAAAGAACATATGCAGTACGCATAAGGAAATGCAAAGAAGTAGCAGATATAGATAAACCGAACTATCATTATCATATTTATAATTATAATAAATAACTTATAATCATGCCTTATAGCCTATAAAAAGTTTATTTTCTTAATTTTTAGCAGACATTTAAACGAGACCTCCGTGTGTACTTTCAAGACATCCAGTATTCTAAGACCTTTTAAGTGAAAAGTTGACATTTTTTTTCCGTAAACATGCATGGCTAATATCAATTCTCAGTAAATCAACAGAAAATTGTACTTTAACTAAAAATTCATAAAAGAAATAACTCACATAAGCCGCTATCCTTCATTGTGTCTAGTTTGCTATTCCTGCAAATATCGTAAAAATGAAGCGATATCGTAAAAATGAAGCGAAAAGTTTTTATTTACATGTCATAACCACCTTTAACCAGCTTCATAATTTGTCACTTTTTGATTTTATAAGAAGTTTACATGCAAATTTTGGTGTTGGTTAAGGTGGTTATGACATGCGCAGGAGTTATATAACACAGCCACCCTCTTGAGTTTTCCCATTACTTTAATGCTAATACGGACCGATAGTACCTTACTTTGTGACCCTATATCATAACAAATACTACTGTATCATTAACCTATCTATATTTATCATCAGCCTACTGATTCATACAATTTCTATGGGGGAAATACTATTTGAAAATTTGAAGTCATTGTAGGCCGTAAAACGGCCTTGTAGAGAATGATCCTTTACAAATATAGGAATGACAATGACTCTAAAACAAATTTTGGACTGAAATCCAAAGTTATATAAAACGCGTTCTGAAATTTGTTCTTTGTAGAAATATTACATCAATACCCTGTCAATTTCATTATTTTGAAAAAACTATCGAACAGTTGAAATTCATTGATATATCGGTATAATACCATTTCGTGCAAATTTTATTTGGCATATCAGTCTGAGGAATCTTCTTAGAAGCGATTTCATGCTTTAATGTGAATAACAATTAAAGTTTTTAGCAAGAAAAAAAGAGAACAGATTGACACTGGTCCTCATTAGATTATCTTTTTTTTTTTAACTTTTCCGGTGAAGAAAAGTTTATCGAAAACCTTCTTCTTTATAAGTAAGAAACGCTAAGCTACGGAAGCCCAATTAGGACTTATAAAAATATTTTTGAAATTTGATATAACGAATTGACGAATTTGTTATAACGAATTTAATTCATTATAACAATTTCTTTGAATTTGTTATAACGATTTCAATCTGTTATAAAAAGTTTGTTGAATTCATTATAACGAATTCTTTAATTTGTTATAACAAATTAAATTCGTTAAAACGAATTCTTTAATTTGTTATAACGAATTAAATTCGATTAAACAAATTCCAAAGTTTGTTATAACAATGACTGTTCCTTGTCTTCACTTTTTTCTGAGAAATTTTACTTTTAACTTGCTAGTGAAATTTTGTTTTATTGTACGGTCGTTGCCAATATATGTTTTTGGTCAAGTTAAAATCTTTGAAGATTTCCTGCATTATGATTGAATTCATATCATTATTCTCATTAGAAAGACATTTCAATCAATTATCAGTTGCTATGGTACGGAAGCCCATTTAGGACCTATCAAAAAATATATTTGAATTCGATATAACGATTTTTAGAATTCGTTATAACAGATTCATTGAATTCGTTATAACGAATTTAATTTGTTATAACAGATTCATTGAATTCGTTATAACGAATTAAATCTGTTAGTACAGATTTGTTGAGTTCGTTATAACCAATTCAAGAATTTGTTTTAACAAATTTTTGAATTGGTTATAACGAATTCAACAAATCTGTAGTAACAAATTAAATTCGTTATAACGAATTCAACAAATCTTTATATCGAATTCAAAAATATTTTTTGATAGGTCCTAAATGGGCTTCCGTACTATGGCAATACAAATTAGAATTTTGTTAAAATGCATTTACTTTAAATCATATAATCAGAAATAAGATAGATATACGCGTTCAAGTACCTTTGTTTACAAAGACGTTTATATTAAATCACGCTCAAACCTTTTCCTATCACGTGAATTAATACCAGGTGCGATAATAGGTTCAATTTGAATAACAATAGGGTTATCATTTATTGTTGTGCCTTCGCTCATATTGTAAGTAACTTATCTCTCTAGCTGGAGTACTCTGATTTGCTTAGCGGAACAGTTATAAAATGCAGGTAAATAAAGGTGCAAATTAAAAGCTGAAAAATAGAGAAATTGTGGGATAGTGAAATAGTGAACTGAGTTTAAGCACTCAAGAACTGTACAAGTTCTCTAATTATAACTTTGCATACATGTATGCAGATCATTTAGTGTATTGTTTTTCTATGTAAATATAAAACTCTAGTAAAAATGTTTAGAAAAAGTTTGCAAGATATAAACATTTATTTTTAGGTTGTAGATACAAGGGAATACTACATGTATGTACGGTAAATAGAAGTCATCGCTTATAAAAGATTGATTTGCGATTTCAAGAAACATTAGAAAGTATATAAGTGAAAAGGCCATCAAACTGAAGCCATACTTCACTTTTAAATCAATTTTTAACACCGAAGATGAGGTACTAAAGGAATATTTAGTGATATATCTGCAAAATTCAACCCGTATACTTTATCCAAAGAAAGGCTATAGAGGGGTAGGGAACCGTATGACAAAAGATGACGGAAGCCGTTTCAGAGTTGTTGTCTTCCCAGAATTCCCTGACGGATACTGAGAGGATCTTAGTTATCGCCCTTCTTTCTGCGCTCAGTATCATCATTATATGTCTGATCACGTTGATTGTACTAACCTGCAGAAACAACATGAAAGCAGAGTAAGTGTACAACTATACAGTTGTAAAAAGTCATCAATTAAGTCTGACATGCTTACCTTCTTAAACATTTGACGTACTTGTACCTTTTATTCTTTTCTTATCCTTGCTAGCTTCTTACAAGCATCAAACTTAGGCCTAAACATGTACCACTTGATTCCCTTCTTAAACCTAAAACATATACGTTTCTTTCAAACAAATCCATCATTGTCTAAAAACCCATGCAAATATCCCACGTTTCTTAAACCCTTAACTATATCCTTATGCTTCGCTGAAACATTTAGTTGGCTTCCACAAACCCAAAAATGTTTAACATGCTTCCTTTGAGCACCAAACAGCCATTTAAAACTTTCTTTTACTTTAAACGTTCTCACAACTATCTTTAACGTCAAAAAATGTACATGTTGGAATTTCATGTCGTCTCAAAATCTTCCTTTGTCTTCTTTAATATTAAATTGGATCCCAAAATACCTAAACAAACCTGCATTATGCCTTCAAGTGAGCCAAGCACAATATTTTTGTTTCCATAATTATGTAAAACTGTTTTCCACATTTCTAGAAACCTGTGAATAAAGATGGTCTTAAATAGTTTACAAATGTGAATTTAGTATACTTTTTATATTGTTATGTACGAAAGTAATAATTGTTGGAAATTCTTTATATTTTCAGTAGTGGAGCACACAACAAATCTGTTTCAAGGTATTTATGTACATAAACTAATCTAATATAATCTTTTAATGGAAAAATGAAACATATTCAACCATATATAGGATATTCTTTTTTGTCTCCCTTCTGATTATGTACTTGTTTAGGCAGCCAACCATTTTGTCTTATTTTTTACACGTTATTTATCTGATCAATATATTTGAAAAATCTTTTAAGACATTTAAAAAGCGTTTATTTGGCACATAATAAGCTTCGAAAACTCTAGAATTATTATGAAGCTGTTTTCCTAATGTAGTTTAAGTTTTCAATACAAAAAGTGGTTACGAATTAATTTTAGGTAATGTATATATAGACTAGTTGTTCTGGAATTCTTTTTGTCCATCAATGAAATTGACTTCAATGGAAAGCTACAAGTCAGAAGAAAGAAAAGAAAAAAACAAACAAACAAACAAACAAAACAAAATAGAACAAAAACAAACAAACAAACAAACAAACAAAACAAAACAGAACAAAAACAAACAAACAAACAAAACAAAATAGAACAAAAACAAACAAACAAAGCAAAATAAAACAAAAACAAACTAACAAACAAAAAAACAAAAGAAAATTTAAAAAATGGAAAAAATAAAAATCAACTAAACATACAAGGATTACAATGTACGAGGGTCATTCAAAAAGTTCGTAGACTTTCGTCATAACTTTTTTTTTTTATATATAAAATGATAATTTCACTGCATATATATTTAGCACTGTTATCGGCCATAAGTTTATTGACCGACCTGCACTTTAATCATTCGTGATGACAAGACGTAGTGCTTTTGTGATATACATATTAGATTATAGTTTTAAAAACAATAATTACCTCTAAGTGAACTGTTGGTAGAAAATTTTACATTTTTGCTTCACACAAACGTTACGTTTTTAGTGCGGCGCACTTTTTTGTAAGTATGTCTTGTGAACGTCAGATAATTCATTCCTTTTTCAGTAAAAGAAAATGTATAAAACCATTGATAAAACGAGGTTAAAAATTTCCCTTTTTTATTCAGTTTTAAACAAATTGAAAAAAAAATTACTTGGAAAAAAATATCACTTAATATTTTAAACTTTAAAGTTCCAAACATATCCCTCATAAAGTTCCTTTTTTGTGTATTAAGATTTTGTCTTCTTATTTTTATTTTTAATGCAGGAGAAGTATTGGAAAGCCCGTGCTAACTGGACGAAACGTCAGACTATCTGTTTCCAGACTTAACTCTCGATATAGTGATGGCAACTTTGCAGCAAAGCGAGATTCCTTTATCAACAGAAGCGTAAGAACTAACCCAGTTTATTTCGAAAACCAAACTTTTCAGTCAAACTCTCCAAGAGAAAGTGAATTGTATTCACTACCAAGCGGAAGTGGAAGTGATGCTGTATTCACTTTGCATAACGAGACCCCACCTGATTCAGAACACAACTTTCAACAAAATTCTAATTTCTTTTATTAGCGGAAACAAGCGTAAATCAAAGACAATGATTTGGAAGTTATCAAATTCATGACATGGATTTTGGAATTGCGGTTTCGCTTAATTTCAACATTAATAACTTAGTTCTGTTAAAATCGGACAACAATAGAAACTCGATCATGAAGCCACTGAGGACGCCCTGTTTGATAATAGAAATATCACCTTGTCGATACACTGCTGTTACATGCATGTTCATGAAATAAATACAGTGAAACATGTCTCATCTGATATGCACTTGGATACGAAATTTGTGTCAGAATAGACAAGATGACGGACTGCACAATGTAGAATGACATGAAATTAAGTAAAATAGCAAAGAATTTGTACGTCGGTGTTTACAGTGTGATGGATTGCACAGTTGTCAGATTATACAGTTTTCACTGTAATTCCAAAGAAAAGAACAAAATTAAAATGGTGATTAGTTTGTGCTTTTCTTAAAACCCTTCAATATAAACCTGTTTCCCTTTTGTCAGTTCTTAACTCTTGAGGTTTATTCACATGATTTATAAATATTTAGGTACTGCATGTAACATAAATATATCATTGTACATATAAAACTCTTGATTTAGGTATTCATTCCAGCAGAGCAGATTATTTTTGCATTACTATATGAGATCACATTTACAAAAATGTCTGTTTACCGATTAAAAGAGAGTACTCAAAGGAAATGGACCTATGTGCCAAATATTCTTCATATGTACACATGATTCAACAAATATTTGAAACATTTTATTTTACGGAATATTACATGCATTTTAGAGACGAAATTCCTAGTTTTTATTGAAATGTATCTTTCGAAGTACCTTAATGAATGGTTTGTAGTGTCGTCATATCACACGATATCATATCAACCAAAACTATCTCACTATATCTATTGCACACTTATCTCACTGAATCTATTCGCAATTTTTTCTCGCTTTTCCTATCTAATCTTGTACATCTTTCGTGAACAAGGCGTATTCATTTTTTTTATTCAATCGTAAATTGGAACATCATCAATATGGAAAGTGGTGCTGATAAAACCTTTTATTACACACTTAGTAATAAATACAGTTTTTTTGGATATGCGATATGGCTGACGTCACAATAGCCGTATCAGCCCTGCAGGGCTAATATGGATTTGCGGGGCTGATAACCTATATCAGCCCTGCAAATCCATATCAGCCCTGTAGGGCTGATACGGCTATTGTGACGTCAATATCACACCCTTAGTAAATTAAACCACAAAAACAGTACTTGTGATCATACACAATTTTTGGTGGGTTCTTAATTTACAAAACATGTAATAGATTATTTTCAAATTACGGATCGAGTGCATTGAAATAGAAGTAGAAACAAACCCAAATCGTATGAGTCGATAGACCATGTACGTGTATGTAAGAAGTCCATGCATGATTATTTACTTATTTTCTTCTCAACTTAATGCATGCTGTATTTTATTACTTCGGCCCTCTGGCTGATATTGGTGTCTCGGGCTGATACAGGATGTGATATGGAAAAGGGTATGTATTATTCTCTATTTAATAGTACATGTGTTAGCTATATTCTGTTATGACTTACAAAGGTTACAAAAAACTGATGATATCAACCAGCAAGTACTCTGATTTAGCCTTGGTATATACAATTCAATTGCATGATAAAAACCAATAATTCATATAAAAAAAGATAATTTTTATAAAAAATGTATATTGTCTATAAATGCACAATAATGTATGAAAATATCTCAGAAAATCATGTGGCAAAATCTTGATTGACAATTGAATACTGCGTAAAATTAAATCATTTTGAGAAATCTTCGAATCTTTAAATATTCGTTATATAAACGATTAGAAATACAATGAATGAATAAAAAAAATTGATTTGATTTCATGGCATGTGATTACTTAAGTTATTTTGGGAAATCGTTGAATCTTAAGTATTCATTATACATTTTGTATAAACGATAAGAAATACAATGAATGAATAAAAAAAATATGATTGGATTTCATGGCAAATAATTATTATGAAAGAATATGTCCAGAAAAACATGAATACTGTCCCTCATTATGCAAGTGAGTAGCATCTGTTGTGTACGCATTTCGACACCAGACATCCTGTCCTGCTTCAACCTGTACGTTAACTTGCGCGGTTGCTGCATTGTAATCGGTCGCACCTGCCCACGAGTATACCAGCTGAACACCATCTTTTATGATTTCAATCCAGGCTGTGTGGTGCTGCACAGTGACGAAGGTAACGATAAATTGATACACACCGCTAACAGGTGCCCGAAATACCCCATGTCTTGCGTCATATGAACCTCCTTGGTTAAGGATTACACGGTCGAATATGATTGTCTGATGTGGCCCGAACACTCTCGGCGAGGAATATCCAAGACAGGCAGTGAACGCAATTAATTGTCTGTTTGTTGCCCCCGTTTGCACTGATTGTAAAAAAAAATATATTGCATCTAAACTATAAATAATGGTAGGTGTTTAGTTGAATAATGAAAACTGGTAGATTTGTACAGGTCCATCAATCATTTGTTCACTCACGAAAACGACTTGCTTGAACACTTATTATTTTTATTAAGCAACTGCTATTTACAAATTAAACGTACAAATTTAAGCACAATTACATGTATTGGACGATGTATTGATAAAACAAAATATATTACTTTACAATTTTATGAAACAAATTGTCTCTCTTATCATACAGAGAGTACATCATTACATCATCGATAGTTTTATATATATACATAGTTAGGTAAAAATTTCATGACAAAAGGAACTTACATTTTATGATTTCTGACTGCATGGATCTCAATGTAGAATTCAGTAAATCCACAGTTGTCTTCATGTCATTTAAGTCCTTTGATAATTTCACAATATCGGTATTCAGGTCTGCTGATGTGTAAAAAAGCAAGTTCCCAATTCCAACAAATGTTGACAAAAAATGTAATAAAACCATAATTAAATCTTCCGTTAGCTCAGACAAAAACAAAATGTAGAAATGAGTGGAAATGCTTTTTTTAATCCCAAGTCATCAAATTTCAGAAGAAATAGTTTTGCTTTTAGATAGATTTTATTTTGTTATCTCAATTTGATCTACTTTAAGTAAACGATCTCTTTATGTATCTTTGTTCAATAGCAGTTCACATTCATAAATCTATCAGGAAAGATTAGCTACACCAAAATGCACACCGTTTAAGAAAACTTTGTTTTCAAAGTGAAAGACACGTCATCATTAAAATAATTTTTTTATCATTTCTAGATTTAATTCTTATAAAGCAATAAACATTTGTATGCAATGTTGTTTTATATTGTTATTGACACCGATTAAACACAAACAAAAAATGCACAGAAGAGTAAATAGCGACTTATACGTAAGGGATCCTTTAAAGTAGAGAGAAAAGGAAGATAAACTTTATAAAAGAAATCATATTAATGTATTTATGTAAGAAAAAATATATATGTTTATTTTTTATTTTATCGAAGCAATACAAATTCCTTTCTGCACATGAAATCACCACTTCTGGATTAAACCTAATTTTATATGCTCATGTGCCATTATAAAGTATATGTTACAAAAATCTTTAGTACTCCAGTTCACAGTAGAAGGAAACACGGACCTCCGAAACATCAGAGGTGGGATCAGGTGCCATGGAGGAGTGAGCATCCCCTGCCGACCGGTCACACCCGCCGTGTGCTCCTTGTCATGATCAGGAAATAACGGAAAAAATTCGTCGTCAATTCAGTGTATAAATAATGGACTAACAATTGGTATGAAAAACGTCAGTCAGCATTTGACTCAATGATAAATTGTATTTGCTGACAAGGTCATTGTATCGACCATAGAACTTACGAAATGATGACTTTAAACGAGACTGCTGATATTCTTGTTTCATCAACTTGCTTGTTAATAATTTACCTCGTTTAAGAAATTGTTCATACGTAGAACATGCTCTTGCGTATCGAATCAACTGAGATATATATACTCCGTATGCAGGTGATGAAGGTATATTGCTGCATAAGTTAGGGATATCATCACGTTAATCATAGAACTTGGTTATTAGATTACCATTAACGTCTCTTTCAAGTAAAATATCCAAATATAAAGCAAAAGTGTCGGACTCTGTGGTATCTTTTATCTCAAGCTCACCAGGATATATCTTATCGACGTAGGATTGGAAATTATCATTATTAATTGACAATGCGTCGTCAATATATCTAAATGTCGAGTTGAAGTCCATTTAAATAATACAATCGAGAGGAGAGCAAATACAGACCTCTAAAACACAGATGATATCAAGTGCCAAGGAGGAGTGTGCATCCCCTGCTCATCGTTCAAATCCAACGTAAATAAGGAATATCCCTGGATTTTTTAGTGTATAAATATGTTAAATCTACGTCGATCAGTCTGTTCTCTAATGAATCTTATTTTTAATTAATGAACTTACTGCTGTCTTCAATTACACTATAGATATTGGAAAAAACAGTTGACTTTTAATATTTAAAACTTATTTATTTTGTTTTACATATAGAAAAAATATATATCTATATAAATATATTCTATATTCTATGTCTCGAGGAGCGATAAAAACACTGATGTTATAAATAAGTGAAAGGGAGACAAACGGTTTCATGCTCAAAGCATTTTTTGAGTTTACGTAGATCTCTGTCATTAAAATTATAAAAAAGCTTTGCTTTGGATATGTTCTCTTCTTAATCCAAGCCGTGTTCTCCCACAATTTTAATCTTCAAAATTAAATTTTCTTTTAACCGTATGATAAAGTTTTACATTAATAAAATACATACACACGTTTTATTCTAAGATTAAAAACCGTATCCTTAAATCTGAAATCCAGAAAAACACAAATATTTTCCATTAGAATGTAAGGTGATGGAGTTTGTGGAAAATGCATTTCGACACCACACATCTTCACCAGACTACATATCTTAACGTTGACTTGCACTGTTCCTTCGCTGTGTTGACGGTAATTACTGTAAGCGTGACCAAGCAGAATTCCATCCTTAACAATTTCTTCAAAAGCATCAAGATCAGGCTTATTGATAAATGTAACAACAAATCGATAAATTCCAGTAGCAGGTGCCCGAAATATTCCATGTCGTGGGTCATATGCCCCGCCCTCGTTTAAGATGATTTGATCGAATTCCATTCCTTGCTGAGGTCCAAATATTCTTCGGCTTACTCCCAAACAGGCTGTAAAGGCGACAGGAAGTGTTCGATCGAATGAAGTATTGTCTGTAAGTATTTAGTAAAAGGAACAGTTTAAAGAGATAAAAGAAAATTAAATTCTAGGATATTAAATTTTTAAAATTTTTTATAGAATTGGAAAAAGAACCAAACAGAAATGGTACGGTAAGTAAATGTTTAGCAAAAAAAATAAACATTTTGGACACACATAGGATCCATTAAGGTCTGCTACGAAATACGCAAAATTGGGGGTCGTAACATAAGGGATACTTAATCTTATACCATACTTATATAGGACTTAAGCGCAGTCTTAAACTCAAGACCGTAACGAAAAGCGAGCCTAGATCTTAGCAAAATTTAGGCGTTCGGAAGAGGTGACTTAAAAGTATGTCTTAACATTTTCATACGCATATTTAAAAATTATACATTTACATCAGGCGTTGCCACCTTGTCATATGTGACATGTGATTTTTTGGATTTTATTTTTCGATATTAAGGATAATTTTTAACAGAATTTTCATACAAAATATGACCTAACTAAAATTGAAAAAAAGACGTCAATTTATATATCATAAAAACATGTAACTGAATATATATTATCATGCAGGTATACCAACTGAAATACTAGCATGATTTACGAGAAAAATGTGAAGTAATTTTGACTTAGCTAAGAACTTGCTAGGTTCGTTTTATGTTACGGTGTGAAATATATTTAAGTATCATTTGAGTGAGATTCAGGATCAAAGTTGTTAAGAAAAACAGTTTGATTTTTAGATTTTTTAATCTACTAGGTCTAAACGTTATTGGTTGGTTGAATGTTCAAAGGAAAAGGTTAGTTAGCAGTAAAGTCGGCATAATGTTCTCATCACAACTTAAAAAAAGAATAGAATATATAACAGATGTCATTTAATGTTAATTTAGGTAATAAGGAAATACTTGCAATACTTCTTGCACATAATATTGAGTGATATGCAACTTTTTATTTTACAAATCTGTATTCAGAGTGCTTTATAGACGATTGGAACAACTCTGGTTCATCAGAATACAAATCACAGTATTGATGTTATCTTTTCTCATGAAACTTAACCATGTAGCCCAAAACATCTTACTGATCTGATCTTAACCTCCAGTGCTTGCAATCTTTGCTGCAACATCCATAATTCCCGTCGGAGTTCCACTACCTCTGTTGATCCAACTATCGACACATTAAGTGAACAGCTACAGACAAGAAATGTGGTCAAAAAGAAAAACATTCTATATATTGTTATGGAAGTTTCTTTTGTTATAGTGCATTTACATCAAAGGCGATGATCGAGTCAATCTTTAGACTGAATATGCCCTAGAACAGTTATATCTTATCAAACAAATGTATAACAAAGCCTGCACAGGTTTATCTTAATATAGGTTATTTATACATTTTTACTGGTAGGCAGTTTGATCACGATGCGATTTAAATTTTCAATGGAGAGGTATTTGCAACCGAAAAATTAATATGAGTTATGTGTTAGCATATATATGTAAATCATGGAATGCATTGGCGTCAAAACAATTCTTTCTACATCTCATAGGACTGTTTACAATTGTGAAAATGTATCGTTTCTGGAGGCAAAACTTTACATTAAGAGTAAAAAGATTACAATTTAAGATTCATTGATTTAACCGGTGTCATGCAAGAAATGATTGTGTCATAAGTATTTCATTTAAGAAAGACTTTTTACAAGTTAAAGTTACAATGAGTTTACTATTTCAACTTTCTTATTTTCCATAATTTTTTTTTTAAAAAATATTCTTTCAATGTCCTCTCTGATGGATACTTATTTGGAAATTCTAACTGAATTTTTTGTAACAAATAATCCTTCATTCACCAAATCTTAATCTGAAGGTATGATACATATAATGGACAGTCCTCAAACTGATAAGTCCATTAAAACAATACTCAGGCGCGGATCCAGGAATTGAAGTTAAAGGGGGCGCCAAATTTAGGTAAAGGGTCTGGGGGCCGCCTTGAGGTCCCCAGTGGGTCCAGAAGCTCCTGGATTCTAGAGATTCTGTAGGGTAAAAAAGAGGTCTACCAAGTATACATATTTATATTTTCTAGACGAAACTGTGATTTACGTAAATTTTGAGAATTTAGGGGGGTGTGTGTGTGCCCCCCCCCCCTTAAATCCGCCACTGAATTACTAATTGCGCGTAGAGCATTAATTGACCTCCAAATATATCAATGGTGTTATCGTGTGTCCTAATGAGGTAAATGTCCCCTGCTGACCTTTTACATTGACCTTGTACGTTTTGTTATGCTCGGGTAAATGGAAAAAAGAAATCTGTAGACATTTGATAGTGAAAAAAAATGTGCCTTCAGCTAGTCTAAAATGTCAGAATGCATTCCATTTGATGCCAAAAAAAAATAAGCAAAATTTGTCTGAAATGTTCATTTTCTTCATTTTATTCTATTAACTCATTTTTGCTGCAGTTGTATCTATATAATTAAAGTTGAGAAGTTGAACAATCAAAATATATAGTTCTACAGATCCAAACATTGTAAGAACATTCTATTTATACCATCTTTCTTTTTTTTCATGCTTCGGGTATTTTTCTTATAGTACATGTGTATATGCATACCGTCTATGAATGGTACATGCATCCATAAATTAGCAATAGATTTTAATCCTTAAGGTTTTATTTAATTAACTGAAAACGATTTGAAACAATCCTATGTGCTTTGGAAAGTTTTGGAAAATTGCATTACGACATCCGTGTTTAGGTCATGGTGAATGCACATACATCCAAACGAAAATACACATAGTACCTAAAAACTAAACTTTTTTTGGACAAATATCTTCTATATATATCGTCTTTTTAACGATACTTCTGCATGTCAATAGGGCCACTTTTGTCCAAACCTGCTTCAAAGAACCCCTGTGTAATGAGGATTTTAAATTTTCTAAAATGAAGAGGAAATGACCGTACGTACAACTGATCTAAAGTGTCACATTGGGTGTTGGAAGACATATGAAAATATGAAGTAAAATCATCAAAAATTTTATTTGCAAAAAAACATCACAGAAATGATATATCATAGTTCCCTTTCTAAGGAAGAAATTCTTCAAAATCATTCGCCAGTTTTGAATATTTTTTAAGATCCAAATAATCCAAAATGAAATGAACTACCATGTCTATATTAGATTACGAAACTTCATGCCAATCCTTACAAACGCCATCTTTTACGATTTCAATCCAGGCTGTTTGGTGCTGCACAGTGACGAAGGCAACAATAAACTGGTATACACCGCTAACAGGTGCCCGAAATACCCCATGTCTTGCGTCATATGATCCTCCTTATAATCCTTAAGGATTACACGGTCGAATATGATTGTCTGATTGGCCCGAACACTCTCGGTAAGGAATATCCAAGACACGAACGCAATTAGCTGTCTGTTTATTGCCCTTGTTTGCACTTAATGAAAAATAAATCATATTGCGTATAAACAATAAATAATTGTAATTTTTTTACGTGAATAAAGAAAATGATAGATTTGTACTTAAACACTATTTAAACACTTAAACACACAAAAGTGTGATTTACAAATTAAATATACAAATTTAAGTAGACTAGTTGAAATAAAAATTGAAAAAAATATTACTTTACAATTTTATGAAAAGGATTTTGTCTCATCATACAGAGAGTACACGATTACATCATAGATAGTTTTATATATATACATATTTAGGTTAAATTTTCATAACAAAGGATACTTACATTTCATTATTTTCGACTGCATGGATCTCAATGTAGAATTCAGTACTGCTACAGTCGACTTCAGGTCATTTAAGTCCTTTGATAATTTCACAATATCGGTATTCAGGTCTGCTGATGTGTAAACAGGTTCACAATTACAAAAGATATTGATAGGATAAGTTGTTATAAAATCATGATTGAATCTTCCGGTATCTCAGTTAAGAAGAAAGTAATATGTTGATAGGCAACTTCTATTGATAAAAAAAAAATCTTCGACGTTGACTCAGATTTCCAAAGAAATGTTTTAGTTCTAGGTTGATTTTGTTATGTTATCTTATTTGATCTATTTTGAGAAAACGTTATCTTTATGTATCCTTGTTCAATAACAGTTCACATTCATAAATCTATTAGAAAGGATTAGCAACGCTAAAATGAACCATGCTTTAGAATACTTTGTTTTCAAAGTGAAAAAGGCACCGCCGAAATATGGCTGAAATATCACCGACTCGGCGTTAAACAATATACAAATAATCAATCAAAGTGATAGACATGTCATTATTAAAACAATTTTCTTTAATTATTTCTGGATTTACTTCTTAAACAATAAATACATACATTTGATGATTATATCTCGAATTAATTATTTATTTTTGCGTTTAACAAACATCCTGAAAATTGATTAAATTCCTGTTTGAAAAATGTTTTCGAAGTTTGCATCACAAAAGTAGTTTTTTTCTCTTTTACATTTGTATTCAATATTGTTCTGATGTTATTGGCACTGGTTAGACACAAACAAATGTATTCGAAGTAAATAGCGACTAGTATGATCCTTAAAAATATAGTATACCGGTATATAGAAGATAAAATTTATAAAAGGAATAATTATATTAACGTATTTATGTAAGAAAAAATCCCCTATTTTTGCTCTGTTTATTTTTTCATAACGTCGAAGCCATAATAATCCCTTTCAGCGCTTGAAATCGAAATGATAAAACAACATATACTGGAAATAAACATTATTTTTTATATACTCATATGCCATTATGAAGTACATATGTTAAAAACTTACCGTATATACTACTCCGATCAGCCTGTCCTCTAATAAATACATTTGTTAATTAATGAGCCCACTGCTGACCTCAGTTAAACTATATAATATATTGAAAAAAACCACTTAATTTTTAATATTAAAACCTTAACTATTTAGTTTTACATATGAAAAAAATATATATACAAATATATTCTATGACTCGAGGAACGATAATTAACATTGATGTTATAAATTTGTCAAAAGGAGACAAACAGTTTCATGCACAAAGCATTTTCTAGTTTAAGTAGATCTCTATTTGTCATAAAAATAATAAACTTTGCCTTCGATATACATCATCTTCTTATACCCAGGCCGTATTCTCCTACAATTTTAATCTTCATAACTAACATTTCTTTTACCCGTATAATAATTCTTTAACATTTATAATGCAGGTACATGTTTAATTCTAAGACTATTCATCGTATCATTAGATTTGAAACCCAGAGAAACACGAATATTTTCCATCAGGATGTAATGTGATAGAGGTTGTGGAAAATGCATTTCTACACCAAACATCATCACCAGACTGCAACTTAACGTTTACTTGCGCTGTCCCTTCACTGTGTTGACGGTAATCACTATAAGCGTGAGTAAGAAGAACTCCATCCTTAACAATCTCTACAAAGGCTTCATGATCAGGCTTATTAAGGAATGTAGCAACAAATCTATAGATTCCAGTAACAGGTGCCCGAAATATTCCATGTCGGGGGTCATATGCCCCGCCTTCATTTAAGATCACTTGATTGAATTCAATTCGTTGATGAGGTCCAAGTGTTCTAAGGCTGGATCCCATGCAGACTGTAAAGACAATGGGAAGTGATGACGTATTGTCTGTAAATATTTAGGAAAAAGAACAATTTAAGTCAATTTAAGAAAATTAAATACATATGTATTTGGAAATAAAATTTTAGGAATTCATATAATAGAAATAGAAAAAAAAACCCACAAACGAACCAACTGAAATGATGTAGTAATTTCATGTTTAGCAAAATATGAACATTTTTGGAACGGATGCATGGAAAAATGCTATATGTTTTACCTGTTTTAACTTAAAATAAATTTTCAATTACTTATAATTAAAAGCTTAAAACTGTCGATTTATTCACCGAAAGGCTGGTACATGTAACCCACGTAATGAACCCTCAAAATCAAACTATAGCATGATTTATGAGAAAAATTGTGAATTAAGTTTGACTTAGCTAAGACATCACTATGTTAAAAACTTTATTTTATCTTACGGTTTTAAACATATTTAAGTAGTACTTTGACAGGCTCTAGGATTGTGCCTAAAACAAACGTATGACCCTATGTAAGTCAAAATCTTAGCAAGCTTTATGTTACGAGCCCCTGGACAATTAAGATGACATTAAAATTGAGTTATGAGTTTGTATCGTGAAATAGTTGAAATTTAACTAGCATATATTTTTTTTCAGTCAATAGTATGATTTACCCATCTTCGAAGTACAACTCTCTGGCTCGGTGATTATGGTAAAATCCATACCGGGGGTACATTTTTATACTTTATGTCTGTCATTTTGATAAATAACACAAAATCAAAGGTATAACCTAAAAAAATGTTTAATAAAGTTATGTAAATTTAAGTGAAATTCAGGATAAAAGTTGTTAAGTAGAATAATTTTATCGAAATTGAGGAAATTTGTAGAGAAATAAACGTTAAATTGTGCGTTTTTCTATACTCATATATTGGTGAAAGTTTAAAAAGTATATAACCGAATTCATTCTTATACAAAAAAAAAAAAAAAAAAAAAAAACTTTCCATCATTTAATTTGCAAAGTTACAAATATTGATTCAGACCGTTTTAAAGACGATTGGAACAACTATGATTCATTCTAATATATATAGGCCTGGGTTTTGTCGCCATATTTTTTCTCTTAAACCTAAACATACGTATAAAGAAAATCTTACTGTTCTTAGCCTCCAGTGCTTGCAATCTTTGCTCCAACATACGTAATTCCCGTCGAAGTTCCACTACTTCTGTTTGTCCACTATCGACACGTTAAGTGAATAGATACAGGCAAAAAATGACGACAAAAAGAAAACTATTCCATACATTGTTGTGGGTGTTTCTTTTGTCATAGTGCATGCACTTCAACGGCGATAATCTAGTCAATCTTTAGACTGAGTATGCTCTAGACAGTTTTATCTTATCCAACAAATGTAAAAGAAAACTTAAGTTTTATCTGGACAGGTTTATTATAATATAGGTCGATTATAAATTTTTTATTGAAGGGTTATTTGCAATGGAAAAATTGATATAAGCAATGTCTTAGCATATGTACAATGTATGTAAAGTAGCATAATATAGAATATGCTTAGCGTCAAAACAATCTTCTAGGACGGTTTGTAATAGCGAATATGTATCGTTTCTGGGGTTGGGGGGTTACATTGAGAGGAAAAAAATACGAATTAAGTTCCCTTGATTTAACCCGTGTCATCCAAGAAATGATTGTGCTATAAGTATGTCATTTTATAAAAACAATTGACCATTGCTCTGTAGTCATATAATGCTCGGAAATCCACTGAAACAATACAAATTCAAAGTAGAGCATAAATGACCTCCAGAAAGATCAATGGTGCTATCTGTCCTGAGGAGGTAACCTGTATTCCCTGCCAAAGGTTTACACTTACCTTGTACATTTTGTTATGATCGGGTAAATGAAAAAAGACAAATCTGTAGACTTTTTATAGTGAAAAAATGAACCATCATCTAGTCTAAAAAATGTCAGTATGCATTCCAATTAATGCAAAGTTGTATCTGCTTGCAAAATTAGCGTATAAAAACAGACAAAATAAGCACAATTTGTCCGAATAGTTCATAACCTTGTTTCCTTCTATAAACTGTATTTTTGCAGCAATATGATAGCTATCTTGTTTAAGTTGAGAAGTCGGGCAGACATTCGATAACTATTTTTTTTTAATATCTATCACACACTGTCTTATCTCACTGAATCAATGCATTATCTTTTATGACTTAAAAAGGTTACGAAGTCAATCAGCAAGTACTCTGATTAAGCATTGGTATATACTATTAAATTGTATGATATCAATAATATAAAAAAAATCAGTAATATATATCGATAAAACAGTTTTGAAAACAGTCATAGGTCTATAAATGCACTATTTCTGTATATAAATATTCTCAGTTCTCGAATGGCGCAGTGGTTACGGATTGAGTGTCTGCTCTAGAATTGCAAAGGAAGGATTACGTTGATCGTTAAGTCACACACAGTAGGACATGAAGACCGGTCCTTCGGATGAGACTGTATAAAACGAGGTCCCGTGTCGTAGTAGGTACTGCTCAATGGCCGTATATACCGATTAAAAAACAAAGTTATGCAGCTCTCCACGTATAGGCAAGTGGTACGTGGTGTCTCCGTATGAATGAAGAATTTCCGAGAGGGACGTTAAATTGCATACAATAAAAATTCTCAGAAAATCATGTTGAGAAATGCGTATTGCATAATATTATTTTGAGAAATCATTGAATCTGAAATATCTCAGCTATGTTAAGAAAGGTCAGAGTTCACATTCCTTGTAAACAGTGTTGGACGTTTAATTGTGACGTCATTAAAATTTAACAAGAAACAAAAATTTTAGAATTAACGACATGATCATGCGTAAATAACAACTTGAATTTGTTTATTTTATCGATTATTTATAAAATCTTGTAGAATTGCAGTACTTGATAGCAATACAGTCGAGTAATAGAAGAAAGTCTTTCGTCAAATATGACATCATCAGTCTTGCCATGACGCAGCACAGGTGATCCAGAGAACTAGATTCATTGGTTAAATTATTACAAGAATGCTTAAATAAATAGGATACCATTGCTGATTTTTAAACCTAATCATCAAAACTAAAAGAAAATAATTCATTGAATACAATGTGTATAAAATATGAATTTATCTAGTAGCAATGGATCTGCACAGGGACAAGGAATGTAGAGAATATCGCTATAACGGTGAGCGTATTCGTGATTAACATCAAGAGTGCAAGGGCATAGACTATTTTGTTTGAGTTGAAATTTGGAATATTTATTGCTTATATAGTGTATATTTTGAAAAGTGCTGGGAGCTGATCCTGGTCTGCATAGCATTATTTCTATTTATAACAGAATTTAAGCGAAGTGGAAATTTTTAGCTATTATAAGCATTTTTGGCAAAATTTTCAGTACTTCGCAAAGAGCACTGACTAGCTCCCAGCACTTTTTGGGTAGAGGAAATAAACATCTTTTTTATGTATATCAACTTTTATGAAAGAATATGTCCAGAAAAACATGAATACTGCCCCTCATTATGTAAGTGAGTTGCATCAGTTGTGTACGCATTTCGACACCAGACATCCTGTCCTGCTTCTACCCGTACGTTCACTTGCGCAGTTGCTGTATTGTAATCGGTCAAACCTGCCCACGAGTAAACCAGCTGAACACCATCTTTTATTATTTCAATCCAAGCTGTTTGGTGCTGCACCATGATGAAGGTAACAATAAACTGATACACACCGCTAACGGGTGCCCGAAATACCCCATGTCTTGCGTCATATGATCCTCCTTCGTTAAGGATTACACGGTCGAATATGATTGTCTGGTGAGGCCCGAACACTCTCGGCGAGGAATATCCAAGACAGGATGTGAACGCAATTACTTGTCTGTTTGTTGCCCCTGTTTGCACTGATTGCAAAAAAGTAATATTGCATCATAATCTATGAATATTGGCATGTTTTACTTATTGTGTGATAAATGAAAAATACATGATCCAGATTTGTAAAAAGTCCATCACACATCTCTATAGTCAAATAAAAATGTTGCTTAAAACTTAAACTAATATGTTTTTTTTTTCGGGAAAACTTATTCACGAATCAAGCGTGCGAATTGAAGCATAGATGAAAAAAAATATTATTTCACAGTTTTATGAAAAGAATAAATTATTATTCAGGCATGACTATTGTCTCATTTCAAAAAGCGAGTGAACCATAATATTAACCGAGATAATGTATAAATGTGTATTGTTAAAAATTGTAATAACAGAGGATACTTACATTTTATGATTTCTGACAGCATGGTTCTCAATGTAGAATTCAGTAAATCCACAGTCGTCTTCATGTCATTTAAGTCCTTTGATAATTTTACAATATCGGTTGTTACAACGCACTTTGAAAAAATTTTTCAAAGTGCGTTAAAATTTGGGACCAAGCTAACGCACTTTGAAAAAAAAATTTTTTTTTTCAACGTGCGTTAATATCGACCATATTAACCCACTTTGAAAAAAAAATTTAAAGATTGATCAATATCCCTTCAAATGATCGGTTTGATAAATAACAGATCCTGGTTTGATAACTTTTTTATGATAAAGTCACTGTAAGACCTGAGATATTGAGGTTTTAAATATTTAAGGTTTTGATAAAATAAAAGGGAAAATTTAAGGGTCTTGAAAAAAAGAGTGACGATTGTTTAAATTCATTAATTCGTTTCTTCTTTTTTTAAATTCTAGTCTTTAATAAGTAGATGTAAAGGTGTATAGGGGCACTAACAGAGGACAGCTTCAAGCAACTTAGCATTTATCATAATAAAAAGGGGCCAATTTGATTGTTCAAAACTATGAAAATTCTTTCTCTCTCATAGGTTTACTGTACTTAAAAATTTCTAGTTTTCATCTGTTTTAATTAACTCATTTATTATTGAAAGTTTTCAACGTCATACCAGTTAGGTAAATACATAATTCTATGAATGCTTTGTATATGAATGCTTTGAGTATAGCATAGACATCGAGACTGGGCGAAGGGCCAGGGGAGGGGAGGGGCTAAGCCCCCCACTTATTTTGGAATTATATATACATCGTATAAGCATTGAAAATGCAGCGTACCCTTTTTAGGTTTATTGCTCCCCTCCCCCGTTTGCTACCGACACCTATGGATTGGAAAGATAAAGATTTGGACTGAGGGATCTTATACCCGTCTTCTCCTCTTTTCGACGGGAGTAAATTCATTTTTGAGGTTAGGGTTAGGCTTTGTTTTTTGAAAGATAAATAACAAATAATATCTTTCCATGACTAAAATATGATATTTTTTTTCAAAGTGCGTTAAATGTCTCCATGGTAAAATATATTGATGTAGACTCTTAACGCACTTTGAAATTTTTTTCAAAGTGCGTTGAGTTGGTCCCAAATTTAACGCACTTTGAAAAAAAATTTTCAAAGTGCGTTGATTTTATCCCAATTTTAACGCACTTTGAAACATTTTTTCAAAGTGCGTAATTTTTTCAAAGTGCGTTGCCACAATCGGTACTCAGGTCTGCTGATGTGAAAATTAGCAAGTTTCCTATGTCAACAAGTGTTGACAAAATAAGTTGTAAAAAAATCATAATAGAATTTTCCGGTATCTCCGTTAAAAAGAAAAATGTAATGATGAGAGCCTATTCCTATGAATAAAAAAATCGTCGACCTAGATTATCAACTTTCCAAAGAAATGTTTTTATCATACCCCCCGCTTGAAAAGCGGGAGGGTATATAGTGATCGTTAATTCCGTCCGTCTGTACGTCTGTCCGTCCGTCCGTCTGTCTGTCCGTCCGTCTGTCCGTCCGTCCGTCTGTTACGCTTTGGGGTACCCATCTCTTATCCGCAACTCCTCTCATACCACTGAATGAAATTTGATGCAACTTTCACAGAATCTTTATTACATATTGCCATTGTGCACCTCCTATTTTACTTTTTGATCCGACGCATATTTTGGGTTTCCCGGCCACAGGAAAACATGGACTTTTTCACCAGTTATAACCATATGGAAGGCGGGGGGTATCATTTAGTGAGCTCATCGCTCACAGTACCTCTAGTTTTAAGTTGATTTTATTTTGTTATCTTCAGTTTGATCTATTTTAGGTAAACAATCTCTTTATGTATCCTTGTTCAATAGCAATTCACATTCATACATCTAACAGAAAAGATTAGCAACAACAAAATGCACCACTTTTAAGAATACTTTGTTTTCAAAGTCAACGACATGTCATCATTGAAATATTTTTTTTTTTACCTTTTCAGGATTTAATTCTTAAAAATCAATAAATACATTTCATTATTAAATCTAAAATTAACTAGTTAATTTTTGCGTAGAAAATCCTAAGAATTTATTAAATTTCTGTTTGAAAAATGCTTAAAGATTTTTTTACCTTTGTACTACAAAAATAGTTTTTTCCCTTTTACTTTTGTATGCAGTATTGTTTTGATGTTATTGACACTGATTAAACACAAACAAATGTATTCAAAGTAAGTAGCGACTAAGAAGAATGGGACCCTTTAAGTACAGAATAAAAGATACATAAACTTGATAAAAGTAATGGTGATGTATTTATGTGAAAAAAATTCCAATATTTTTGCTGTTTTATTTTTTATAACATCGAAGCCATTAAACTTCCTTTCAGCACTTGAATTCGGTATTACAAAACATCATTTACGGGATTAAACTTCATTTTTATATGCTCGTGTGTCAACATAAAGTACTTATGACAAAACCTTTAACTAACGTCTTTTCTCTGTTTGAAAAATAAAAAAAAATCTTTTGACCTTGATATAACATGAGATATAGAGTTAACGTACAGTATTCAAGTTCAAAATCCATTTAAACAATACAAATCAAGAGCAGAGCAAATACGGACCTCTAAATCAGGGATGGGATTAGGTGCCATTGAGAATTTGGCATCCTTTGCCGATAGTTCACCTGTTCTCCTTGTCAAGAACAAAAAAGAAGGGAAAACCCTTAGATTATTTAGTATGTAAATAACATTTTATATCTACTTCGATCGGTCCGTCCTGAAATGAATCTATTTTTCAAAGAATGCGCCACTGCTGACCTCATTTACATTATATATAGTGTAAAAAAAAAAAACATTTGAATTTCTTTGAATATTTAAAACTTATTTATTTAGTTTTATGTTTAAAAATATATAAGAATATATCTTATGTCTGCTGTGCCTTAAATTGGATATATTCTCTTTTTATTCCAAGTTGTTTTCTTCTACAATTTCAATCTTTAAAATTATTTCTTTTCATCCGTATGATAATTCTTATACATTTATAATGCATACATAGTTTTTAGTTTAAGATTATAAATCGTATCCTTAAATTTGAAATCCAGAAAAACAAGAGTACATTCCATCAGGATGCAAGGTCATCGATCTTGTGGATAACGCATTCCGACACCATACATCTTCACCAGACTGTAATTTAACGTTGACTTGCACTGTTCCTTCGCTGTGTTGATCGTCATCACTATATGCCAGACCAAGCCGATTTCCATCTTTCACAATTTCTGCAAAGATTTCATGACCAGGCTGATTAAGAAATGTGACAACAAATCGATATATTCCAGTAGCAGGTGCCCGAAATATTCCATGTCGTGGGTCATATGCCCCGCCCTCGTTTAAGATCACGTGATCGAATTCCATTGGTTGATGAGGTCCTAGTGTTCTGAGGCTTGCTCCCAAACAGGCTGTAAAGGCGACGGGGAGTGTTCGATCGGATGATGTATTGTCTGTAAGTATTAAGGAAAAAGAACAATTTAAATTGATATAAAAAAATTAAATTTAGGGAACTTAAGTTTTAGGAGTTTATTATAAGATTGGAAAAAGAATAAAACGAAATTGATACAGTTAGTTTAATGTTTAACAAAAAATATAAACATTTTTAGAGCGACGGCATTGGGGAATATTGATTTTTGCCCTGCCCGTCTGTTTATATACGGGATAATCTTTTCGTTTGTAAAAAAGTACCTCTTCAGTAAAAACAGACATTGACAAACTTTTACCTTGCCAATAACTTTTTTTTTGTCGGAACTATTGCTTTCATTTGTAACATATGTGTATTTCATATGACAATACCTTCAATAGGTGGCGTCACCATATGAGTGAAAAATTCAGGAGAGAGAAGTTTGACAACAAGCAAGCAAACAAACAACAGACCAACAAATAAACAGGTATCAACGCATTTGGCCTACTGGCTTTTATCTTGGGGTCAGAGTGTCTTGGTGTTTGATCTACTTTTTCAACATTTTACCATATTTTGGCATTACCGAAAATATTTGAACTGTTGTCAATATTAGCTTCATACTTCACGTGTAAATTCCATATAAAGAGACCTATCTTAATATATATGTTATGTACATTCAGTCAGATAATAAGCAAAATGTTATTAGTTACACAGTCAGTTAGTGACCTAATGCGGATTCATACAGGGTGTGAAATGGAAATCCGTATTGGGCGAGGCGAAGCCGAGTCCCAATACGGATTTCCATTTCACATATATATAGGTTGACTGTGTAACGAATTTATCCCGCTGAAGACCCTTTTCAATAAAAAAAAATTATGCATATTATGAAAATATTAGTTTTAATCCAATAACAATCAACATAAAATGTCGTTAAGGTAACAAGAAATTTAACTAAACTACCTACGTTAACCGTTTGTTAGCCGCCATTTTTATTTACAATAACAACGCTTCGAACGGAATCGCGTGCCCGATTTTCATATTACGCCTCGACGGAGACGTAATATGGAAATGGAGACGTAATACGGAAAATTTCATGTGATTAGCTTTTATCCAATCAGTAATCGACAAATTTGTCTGAAGCGGGATAAAAATCATTACATAGACTTCTTGTTTTGTTCAGAAACTGTTCACAATTCATTCGATTTCGCGACTTAGGTCTAATGTTAATAAAATACTTACATTTCTCCAGTTTAGCTTGAACATCACCTAGCGTAGAATTCATTTTTGCAATAAGTGATTTCAAGTCTTTAATTTCTTGTTTCATTGCAGGAATATCGGCTTCATGATCCACTTCTGGTAGATTCAGAGAGTGCACATTTCCAATCAAAACCAAAATAAAGATTGAATGAAAAGAAATCATTTCAGTGCCCGTGAAGATTTACAAAATTAAACTTTTCCCCTGTGTTTCGAAACTTAGCAAGGTCCTTAAACAAGTTATAAAGGTTAATGATTGTAAAATAAATATTTAACTGATAAAATGCGTGTTGCTAAAGGTATTCGTTAAAGAGTAAAAACACACGACTTTATTTGATAAGAGACAAATTTAGACCTGATAATTCAGCATTATGATTATGATTCATGTTTGTTAATTCATTTTATTTTGAAGAGTGTATGTAAATTTTTTTAAAACATATTTGTATATAATCGTTATGCCATTCCATTTTTTTAATGTTTAGATTATATGCGTCCTGGCATTTGACAAGATGTAAGAAAAAACGAACAGAATTTAAAAAAAAAACTGGAAATGGTTTTTTTGGTAAAAATTTCGGGAATATGTCAGGTTCTTTAAATATTTCTCTAATTAATAGTAGATCTGTGTTATATTGTGCCTATTTCAAGCATGTATGTTTTTATATCTTATTTTTTTATCAAACAAAAGATATTTCTACGAGAAAAATCGAGTCATGAAATCAAATTATTTGAATGGTTCTCAAAATTACTTTATTTGCAAATACAGTCTATCGTTGCGTTATACCATGACAATTAATTGGTCATTGATTTTATATATAATATAAGTCCAATGACTTACTATCAAGGTATTTCCATCCTCGCATGATTTCATAGGTCTTTGCAAAAACTGTTATTAATTTAAATTAATAGCCAATAGAGCAATATCTTTTGGAAGAATGCTTTTCAATACGTGTGATGATAAATCTTATTAAGTAAAAGAAATTAAAAGATGTATATTTTCTTTATTTAATCAATTATTCACTCTTTATAAAAATGTTGAAAAGGACGATAACTCCATCCAAGGTATCTTCATTCTTTATTGTACTTCTAATGTAAAATAATTCACCTGATATTAAAATGATTTTTTAAAATGCTATTTACAATAGATATACTGTTTTTATGATGACATATACTTCTGTTTATATGACTCCCATCTTTAAGTAATATGGCAGCCCATATCTTTTTTGCAATAATTTGTAAATTTAAACTATATTAAACTAAAATAATTGCAGTTTTTGTACTTTAAACCATTGAAAATGTGAGGATTGAAAGACATTAATCAGTAAAGAGGTGATGGTTTCACTCATGGTGTTTCCAGAGATTTCACGTTTTTCCCCTTTTCACATGTAATGCTGACTGACGTTTTTCATACCAATTGTTAGTCCATTATTTATACACTGAATTGACCACGGATTTTTTTCCGTTATTTCCTGATTGTGACGGCGGGCACACGGCGGGTGTGACCGGTCGACAGGGGATGCTCACTCCTCCATGGCACCTGATCCCACCTCTGATGTTTCGGAGGTCCGTGTTTGCTCTGCTCTTGTTTTGTATATTTGTTTAATGGACGTTGAGATTGAATACTGTTCGTTATTTCCATATCCTTCCTTCATGTACAAGTCAAATTTTTTTCTAAACGTTTGGAGCTGAAATTCTAAACATCAAGTTAAAATAATTCTCTGACATTATATTCAAGAGAATATTATTAAGTTAAACACAAACTTTTACTTTAAAATAAGAACAATTTCAATCGAATAAATATTTTCTCTGCAGGTTGATACAACTAATTCCATTCATTTCTAAAGTACAGTTTAAAGTAAAGTTTTTTCATGGGATCATATGATTACACATAATGGAACAAGTTTCGAAAACATACACTGATCGATCTAAAGGGAATCCTTAAGCAATGCAATTCTGTAAAGATGTGCACTGACCCAAGGCTTTCAAGAGGTGGAATCAGGTGCCTATGAAGTGTAAACCTCCTCTTCGATCTGTCTCAGCCGCCCTTAAATCTATGCATTGGAGACGGATTTTTCCGTTATTTCCCAATCATGACACGGAGCACACGGCGGGTGTGACCGGTCAGCAGGGGGATGCTCACTCCTCCATGGCACCTGATCCCACCTCTGATGTTTTAGAGGAGGCCCGTGTTTGCTCTGCTCCTATTTTGTATTGGTTTATAGACTGTGATATTGAATACTGTTCGTTATCTCCATATCATTCATGTAATGCGCAGGTGGTCGAATCATTCTAAGTAAAATACAGTATGATTACAAAGGCCTAGCAATCGGTCTGAACCAACTCAACCTAAATACGACCAAATGATAGCTTCTTTTTTATGACAATGTCATTATAAATTTCATTATAATAATGATTATCTATCTGACTTTATCTTTTAGCTTCAGTTAGATATATCTGCTTTTTCATGTCTTCATTGCATCTTAAGTATGCTGCAACAAATTATTGACCGTGTACATAACAAAAATTCATCACAACTTTTAGCTGCCTCCTTACTAGAAACAGAAATTGACAAAAATTCTCATGTAGGGTATCAAACTTTTTTTTCTTTATCAAATATCAAGTTATAGAAATTACAGGCTTTTTAAAAATTAAAGAAATCTATTTCTAAAAGGCTGAAAGTGTCGAGTACAAGCGTAAATTAGTTATTGTCCACCAGCATGGGGTGGCGCAAAGGTGCATTAAACAAAAAAAATATTTATCAGCTTATGTCGTGTTTGTTTTATACAGCTTATAACGATTTCATATTAAATTCATATTAACTAACCGTATATGATGACATATCATGAAATTTTCTTTAAATCGACAAAGTTGCAAATTACACTTTCTTTTGAGAATTTTTCTTTGAGTGAAAAATTCTCGAGAGGGACGTTAAACAGCATGCAATCGATCAATCAATATGAACAAAAAGAGAGAGACAAAAAAATCGTTCAATGATTGCTAGCAAATGACGTCCCTAGTTTCCAAAGAACTGGATATCTCTTAGTATTTACACACTGAATAGTCAACGGATCCCGATCAAAAGAAGAAGCACATAACGGTTGTGACCGATTCGGTAGGGAATGATCACTCTTCTTAGGCACCGATCCAATTTTTGATGATTTGGAAGGTCCATGTTTGTGCTGCTCTCGATTTGTACCATCTAAATTGACTTTGATCTTGAATACTGTTCGTTGTCTCCATATTTTACTTTCTTAAAATTTTTGACAACATTTTATATTAATAACTATTGGCACAGACTCAAATTACGAAATTTGACAGAATGATCAATTGGTCATATGTTTTAAAACTTAAGTAAAATACATGTATAATTTAAATACAATCAATTCTACATAAATTATATCTGTTAATAAATTAGTATGTTACTGTAAAAGTATTACATTTGGTTGCGTATTTTATTTCGCGCCTTTGCGGAAAGCATCATCCGCTAAATAAAGCGCAATACTCCGGTAAATGTTTCATCATATAATATCATTCATATAGTACACATTTAGAAAGCACTTTTTCAAATCTATGCTTACTTATTAAAAATGAAATATTGAACACGCCAAATAAACTACATTAACAGAACTCTTTACAGCTAAAACGCAGTGCGATAACATCTGTACTGTGTTTTCCTAACTAGATATCAAATGCCCAGAAAAGCAACTGTAACCATTAGCGTTAACCAATTGATTTGCTGTTTGTGAATTACGACACCACACGGTTTGACCAGCACTAAGTCTCACATTGACATCAGTGGTGGAGGAGAGATAGTCGCTTCCGCCTTCGTATGTATGGATAAGTTCTGTTCCGTCTTTGACCATCTGAATGCGTAGCGAATGTGACTTCACCGAGTATATGGTCATGGAAAAGTGATAGAGTCCGGAAACAGGTGCCCGAAATGTGCCATGCCGTGGATCAAAACCATTGGCTTCGTTTGTGATCACGTGATCGAATTTGATTGGTTGTAGGTGGCCAATGGTAACTGCAGTTGATGATGATAAACACGCAGTAAATCCAACTGATTGTTGTGTAAGCTTTGCTGAAGAATCTATGTGGAAGAAAAAATGCCTGCACAGTGCAGTCAAGCATGTATTACAGTATTGTCTTAAAAGCATATAAATCTAATTTCAGAACATTAACCTGCACACGAACAAGAGGAAATTGAATTGAACATATCATTTAGTCAAAAGGATATGACGATATGATGAATAGTTCTAGACAGTTTTCTCCTAATACAAAAACTGAAAAAATACAGGATCTATTATTTGATCTGACATGAGAATAAGTAGTGTCAAAACTGAAAAATCTTGATACTTCCTCTAGTATAGTGATAGTGTATCTAAACACCTCGAAAATTTTGTCCAGAATGTTCATGCACATTGTAAATACAATCATGTATATTATTAACACATTTAAAAATAAGGAAAATTAAACGGCAGGAATTTTTAGACTCACTTTACTAAGATGAAAAAGTGAATCATCAAACAATAACAACAATGACAACAAAAATTCCTCTGAGAGAAGAGAAGATATTAATATAACTTACAAGAAATGTGAGTTCTTTAATTTACAATTTATTATTCCGGAAAAGAAACAGTATTAACTATTGCTTACTATTCATTGCTTCAAGTGCCTGTAATCTTTGTTCTAGCATCCTTAAATTCTGTTGCAGTTCCAAAACATCTGTTTGTCTCGATGCTGTCACGTTCAAAGAGTGAGTAAAAGCAAGACATGTGGACAAAAAAAGAAGTGTTCCATACATTTTTGTAAGAGTTTTCCTACTAACGGTGCATGTACTTCTCCGAAGACAAACTAGACCAGACGGATGCCTGATCAATTCTGCTCCACAATGACGGAATGAGGTGGTATTTCACCTGTAATTGTTTGATCATTCTTCCATCGTGCAGTTTTGCTATATTGTATTTATATTTTTTATCAAGGTTAAATTTTCTTTAGCAGTCGTTGTATGAATGACACATTAATATCATTTTGCAGATATTTCAAGACAAAAATTATTATTTGGAAAAAAGTGTACAGTAAAATTACACATTTTCTCGTAGTTTAAGGAAAAAAATGTTGCATTGATTTGGATTTGATTTTGTGGCTGAAGATGGGAGTTGAGTAGTTATATAAAATGTACACATGCTATTTTACATTTCGTGGTGGTCATGATTTCCTGGGCATCCTCATACCTCGAAAGTTAACCCCACAAAATTAAAGATTTCATTGTAGTCGCAAATTATTAATTTATCAATGAATATAAACATAAATTTGTTTGGTCTTATTCATCCGCATTGTGACATTACAATTTAAACCGCTCATGGGAAAAGTTCTCTAAAATTCTTTACAATTCATTCAATTTACAACGGTACACCAGGATAAGGCGTATATTTTATAACAGCGTATTTTTTTAAAGATTCAGGCCGGTTTATGGTGGCATATTTCTGTCCCGTACATGGAAGATAATTAATATTACAGTAGAAAACTTTAAGCTGATGACTGCGTTTTGCTTGCATTGGTGCTTTTGATTAGTGACATTCATAAATTTACCTGTATGGCGGTATATTTCTGCGCCTAAGTATTCAAACATTTTACCAGTATATTTGGCACAATATTCTAACATCTGCTTTGTTCAATTTTTTTTCTAACTTCATATCTCATATTCTAAAGCCAGAATAATTATAGAATAGCAGCAAACCTAAAAAAAATTGTGAACAAGTCATCAAAGGTGGACCATCTGGATATTCGAGGGGCCAAAATTGAGCGATCGATACTAGTTGTATTTCATGCTCTAAATTTTGAATTTACCGGGTATATTAATACCACCTGGTAAATTCAAAATTTAGAACATGACGTTTAGTTGACGTATTTGTAAGCAAAGAGAAATAACTCAGACATGTACTCTTTAGCATTCATCTGCTGACATATGAAATGAAGGTAATTTTGCTAATGACGAATTTCTACACGTGTCTTCTTACGCAAATTACGTGTACATTGCCAATTACACGTAAGTAAAAACTTGTAGCGTATAATTCTTTAACTGATGTTTATGTTTCAAAAAGTGTGCGTTTTTCTGAAACCTGATTATTTAATGCAAATACTGATATAAGAACTGAACGTCAGTAATTGAAATATATTAATTTATAGGGAGTTAAAATTACAACATCTAGATTTTCAAAAAAGACTTTGACCGATTAAAAACATAAGAACTCTGTTCAATCTTTTTCTCATAAGTACATGTATATATTTATGTAGAACGGTGATAAACGTATTAAAATTATTGCTTTTGCGGATGATTTTTAAATGTAAACCACTTTTACATTTAAAAACTTACAAGTACAAGTACAGGTTATACTTAGCTAAACAAGAAAAAAATGTTAACATGTACGTGTAATTCTAACTTGTAGTTTACACGTACATGTACACGTACAAGTGAGCTTGCTAAACCTCTCTATTGACTCTTTATTAGCGAGACAAAATTTTCACTAATTGTGGTCATTGCTCTATATAATCTTAAGTAAATCTATAATACGCGAGAAGGAAATTTTCCCGAGCATTACGCGAAAATAAAGTTCTCGCGGCGAATAAAAAGTGATCTTGATAGAATTATCAAGATTCAGCACTGATCAAGACGTGATAAAATTATCACTAATTGTAAAGCATAGCGATAGAATTATCGCATTTGTAACTTGATAGAATTATCAAGATTCAGCACTATTGAAGACGTGATAAAATTATCACTAATTGCGATAGAGTTATCGCATTTATAACTTGATAGAATTATCAAGATTCAGCACTGATCAAGACGTGATAAAATTATCACTAATTGTAAAGCATAGCGATAGAATTATCGCATTTGTAACTTGATAGAATTATCAAGATTCAGCACTATTGAAGACGTGATAAAATTATCACTAATTGCAATAGAATTATCGCATTTATAACTTGATAGAATTATCAAGATTCAGCACTGATCAAGACGTGATAAAATTATCACTTATCTTAAAGCATAGCGATAGAATTATCGCATTTGTAACTTGATAAAATTATCAAGATTCAGTAATACATTAAAATACCACTAATTGTTCAGTAATGTGGCAAAATTACCACTCAAACTTGAACATGTGGCAAATTATCACAGGCTCTTCTGCAACTCATGCAGTAGAAAAAGTTTCCAGACTTACTGTTCTAAGTAAAAATAAATGCTTGATCACAAGGGTCCCTTTCTGTATTTCCCACTCTTGGACTGGCTCTCTACAATGCATCTAATATGTGATTAAACAGAAAACTGCTGAAAGTATAACATTGTGTCATATATGCATAATAAGCTTTTTTTTTTTTAAATCATTAATACCCGTTTTGTAAGATGTTCTAAGTCACTAGGGTACTAAGGCTAAGGTACATATAGATGTATTGCCTGTTTCATAAACTTTGATGCAAATTAACCATAATTGTTATATGGCTAAATGACATACAAACTATTTATCTAGCTATCACTTGTACTATGTATCACAGCACCCCTGATTGCCCTAATCACAAAAGTTATTCACTACAGAGTTCTTCAAGCCCTTTAACTTCCAGTACACAACCTGCCTTCTGTTTTTAACTTCTTCTTTTAAAAGTTGATTTGCCAAGACTATTTACTTATTATATAACGTTAAAACAACTCGGCAGTGTCTGGTGGAATATCTTGGTAACGACTGACACACATATATCTTATTTAAATGATACCGGTTTAAAAACAAGTCACATATTGCCATTATTTTTGACACAATCTCCATAACCGAATCCTCATCAGCCTGCGGCTGATCGATATCGTTTCCCGCAATATGTAAAGTTAGCTTCTGTGGTCGGTTCCTTTGAATCTCCTCTTCTAGCACTCTAATGTCCATACTTCGACCTATTCTGTCCCCACTAATCCCAATGACCGAGATCGCTACATTTTGTACATTAAATATAATTGTTTCAAAGTTGTCTCTGATTCCTCGCATAATGATATAACTAAGCGTCGAATGTGTGAGTCACCAAATATTAATACAGACATCTTGATGAAGGAAGAACACAGTACAAAACAATGATCGTTGGGACAACACAGGTTACGAATGATGAAAAATCGGAACGCACGTAGGCCTTCCACGTGTGCCAGGACCGAATTTCAAGTCTCGTCTTTTAACACTTACAAATGTGCTGAATTCCTTGGAAATCCAAAAGATCACACCACGAGAAGTCCATCAAATGTATTAACTGTGCACTGGACACGCTGTAAGCCAACTTGCTTGTTCAAAAATAAAATTGTATTTCCATACAAATATGGCGCTGCCACTGATTGTACTCAATCATATACTGAGGCTGTTCCAAAAACAAGACCGAACAAAAGTATTAGAGTTATCTCGCTTGTCCCACTTTCAATACACAAGAAATGGGCATAAAATTATTTATGAACATAAATAGCATTTATTAGCGAGACAAAATTTTCACTAATTGTGGTCATTGCTCTATATAATCTTAAGTAAATCTATAATACGCGAGAAGGAAATTTTCCCGAGCATTACGCGAAAATAAAGTTCTCGCGGCGAATAAAAAGTGATTTACAGTATGTTAAACGTTCTTTCAAAGTTTTTAATTGGGGTGTGTGCAGAAAAGTGGAATTTTAAACAGCGTAGAATGTTTATAATTTCATAATTTTTAAGCAATAAAGTCTAATCATTCAAAACCAAAATAGGTTTACAAAATATATATTTATTTGTTTAGGCATCGATTTCTTTGTCTGTATCATCTGTTCTTCAATAATTTCAATGTTACAAATACGTTTTCTTCTTCAACGGACTACAAGATTTTCATTCAAGTAGGTTTCACTTTTTTGAAGTGAAATTTTAGTGCGTTGATTTGAATTTTGTATTGCTCTTATTAAGAAAAAAATCGATGACACTGTAACAAAACAAAATCTTGTTTAAGTAAGTAAAAATGTTTGCTAGGTGGTATAGTTTGACAGTATAGTATTTCAAAAAAAGTACATAAAATGTAAAATAGCTTGAGAATATTCTTTACAATATTATAAAAATGAATTATGCGAAGAAAATTTATTATTTTTTTTGTTGCAACTCTTAGCAATGGTTTTATTACAATTTAAAATATAGAGTCACACAACGTAGTTCTTCTGGTAGTTTCTCTAGAATGTGATATATTGATGTCCTAATTATAAAGGTGAAAATTTCGAACAGTGATGTATCAAAATTAATTTTTAAACAATAAAAATGATAAATGATCTGAGCATGAAAACAGATTAAAAAAATTCCAAAGGTAGGATCAGGTACCCAAGAAAAGTAAACAACCTCTTTTGACTGCACATATACCACCTATGTATTGATGAGGAAGACAGAATATTCTGTACTTAAAATTATGTGTTTCGTTACCTGCGATAGAGCATAAACGTCAAATTTCTATAAGAAATTCTGATAATGCATATATCTTTGTCATCAGGCAATCAATCAAGGAAAATATAACAACTTAAAGAGAACATGTCACCTGTAAAGACATACATTTTTATTAATGGCCCCATTACATTTATTTCAACACCTGATGCAAGGAAAAAAAGTAATTTGCAGCTGACAATATATCCATTTAAAATTACTTAAGGTCAGATAGACATTTTTTAAAAGATTTTATCGAGCAATTAAATAAATCGGCATCATCTTGTACGTGATACGAGCATTAATTTAAGATTAAAAATATATCTTTTAGAATAACTGATAGCAAGATATTAACATCATAATGCTTGTTAAACAGAGTTGATAATATTTGAGGCTATAGTTGGATGCATGGTCA